TGCCGCCCCTCCAACCGGGCGCCTCGCTGTCTGCCACTCCTCTAGCCTGTCGCCCGGCTATCTGCCGCTCTCCAGCTGGGCGCCACGCTGTCTGCCGTTCCCTCGGCCTGGCGCCTCGCTGTCTGCCGCCCCTCCAACCGGGCGCCTCGCTGTCTGCCACCCCTCCAGCCTGGCGCCTCGCTGTCTGCCGCTCTCCGGCCAGGCGCCACGCTGTCTGCCGCTCCCTCCAGCCTGGCGCCTCGCTGTCTGCCGCTCCCCCGGTCGGGCGCGCCAGACGGTGGCCCGGCCGCCGGGTCTGTATTGACTGGCGGCTTATCCGCGCCGGTGGCGGCCGGGCGGCCGGGAGGCCCACCAACGACCCAGACGGCGTGTCGCCGGCAGCGGCGGCCTGGTCAGCCGACCAGCGACCCTCTCTCCTGCCCCTCTGCTCTGTCGCTCCCGGCACTCGGCCCGTCGCTCGACTGCCGAAGCTGCAGACTCATTTTCACAGCTGATGAGGTGGCGGTTATCACTCGATCGAAGCTCTCCGATATTCAAAGGTGCGCCGGCAGGGCCTATACAGGCATATTTCTATTTGAATGGTATCAAGTTGATCTCTGGCAATACTACCTCATTTCCTTTCGCCTTAGCGGGCTCCAGCTCAGTAAATCAGTTTTTAAAGTTCGGCCGACTTCAGCGAAATGCCCGAGATCGCGAGTCTCCAATGCCGTCTGTCAGCCGCTCCAGTGATATTTTGCTTGTTTAGTTGACTGCTGAAGTATTGATCGCCGCGCGTCTGAATTGAGCAGCCTCCGCACATGAGTGCACGGGCCGGTGGCGGCAGGTGGGGAGGAGAGAACGAGCTTGTCTCCGAGGGCGATGCCACGCTGAAAGCGCAGCCAATATCGATTCTCCGCTTGGCTCACAGTTCGAGAGGTTGAATAGGCATCTTTAGTTGGTCGTTTGAGAGCGGGACGCCGGTGATTTTGATCCGACGCCGCATTCAGCCGGGTCGCGCGGACAGCCGGCGCGGTTTGGCATGCAGCAGCGCCCTCCTCGTCCGCTGCTTTGTCATCAGGCGAACTTTGGCGCGCCAGGGTCCGCTTGACAGAAGACAGAGGACCCTCCACAAATTGAGCCACCGCGACCGCGGCAGAAGGGCCCAATGGTCTTTTTGACCGCACGATGGTCTGCACGTCACAGCCTGTGGGGTAGACACTCCCGCCGACCGCGAACGCGGCAGTATGGCCCAATGGTCTTTGAAGGCACGATGGTCTGCACGTCACAGCCTGTGGAGTAGACTCTCCCGCCTTGCACTGCCTGCGAGGTAGGCTCTCCCGGGATGCACCAGCCGCGGAATAGACTCCCCGCCGCGCTGCCGGGTGAGGAAGAAAGAACCAGAGGCTATGGGGCGTGGCCACATAATTGTCTCTGGGCTCACGAACTCCCCCTTTAAAATTTATTGTATTATTCCAATTACGTGTGCACGAATAAACGCTGACAATAAACAATGCAAGGTGCACATGTGAAACATACAGGAGTGTCACACATTTATAGGGGGTTTTTGAACTAAAATAGCCATCTTAAAGCCTTTTCGGAGCTGCTCATCATTCTGCCCTTTTTAAGACTTAAAATCCTGTAGTTTCTCAGCTACACGCCCGCGAAAATGGGAAAAGGTATATCGGGTAGAGTATTTCAAAGTCATCCTGCCATTCATGACGCTATAATAATATCATTCAAATTCTGCCGTTCCCTAAGCCGTGCGGTAATCCAGGCCAACAAAAATATATAATTGTCGAGGCGCTCATATCTTGCGTCCGAGAGGATGATCTCCAGATAAAACGGCCGTCAACTGGCTCTCAATCGGTGTTGTGCAAGGTGCGATGACATAATCAAACCATGACGCATTAAGGAAATTTTTAGTTAACAGATGATTGTGCTGTCTAGAGCAGTATTTTCAACTTCAAAAACATATTAATAGGTATAAGCGAGCTTGTTTCATCGTACCTTATGCCTGCTTCAATATCGTTGAAAGTGAAAAAATCCCCTTAAGAGATAGAAACATGCGATGTTGTTTTACACCAGGCCAGAAAATCCGCGCAATGTGATGTGCTTCATTAGTTTTCCGGTGAATGTTTCGAGAGAAGGGCGCCCTCTCGCCCTCCCCCCCCCCTCCCTCTCAATTGCGAAACCCTGCATACAGTGCTGTAGGGTCTGAGTGGGCAACCAGGGTTTATGGGGACCCAGTGTTGTTGATCTTTAATCCCGATTCAGAGTCCACACGGCCTATGTAAGACTCCCAAATCAGGGGGTAACGGAGCACCTTGTTTACGCCTCTGCACGGGTTCAACTAAATGCTTTCTCACTTAACAATTTCGAAAAATAGATACGGCTTTCGGAATGGTATTCGCCAAAATTGGGGATGCACAATGAGGGGTGCAGTCAGGGGTTTCGGAAGTGGGGCCTGGAGCCTAGTGTGAACGCATCAGGTGGCTTTTTCACTTTCTGTCAGAAGCCAGCTATGCCGAAAAAAAAATAGAAAAAACGCGGGCCAAAGGGTTGAGGGTGTCCCATGCCCCTAGGCTGCTTCTATGGCGGTACACAAAGGTTGGGTGAACAGAAGTGTTACGACTGAGTAAGCGATCAAATGATTAGGTAATATAATCTGCTATCACCTTAAATTTTTGCAGAACGTGGACCAACTCTACATTTTCCTCAACTCAGTCATTACATACCCGAAATCTAAGAAATTCCGATCTAGGAAAGAGGACGGTAACGAAGAGAAACGGAACCACCGGCCATTTTTTAACACGCGCCTGGGTGGCCGGATGGATACCCTTCGCCCGGGTGGGCGTCAATTTGACCCCTTGTGATCTCAAAAACGAAGAAAGCAAAAAGCACGAAATTCACAGGATGTGTTGATCTGTACGCAAGTACGCAGAGCGAGACCAGTGTGCCTTATACGTATACAGGGGTGCAGTTCCCTATTCAGATGGGGGCCCTGGGAATAGGGCTGAAGCCCTACTCCCAGCTTCGGCTTCAGCCCCCCCCCCCCCCCCCATTTTTGGGCAGAAGATGGGTAAAATCCAGGAAGAACCCTATTTGTTGGCATATTTTGGGCGCAGTTTGGATCATTTTCACTATTCAGCCCTCCCCGCAGCTCATTTGGCAAAACTATGTCCAATCACAAGACAGCTATTACACTCATCGTGACGGGGATTTATGCTTGAGCGACCACTCCCAGCTTCTCTCCAATAGCGATCGCTGGTCATTTGTCGATATGCGTAAAACGTCTCAAACAGCTGGAGACATTGTCACACCGTACGGAAGGGCAATGAGCTCGACCATTATCCACTTGATTTAGCACATATGCAATGTAGTACCGAGCGTCTCAGTAGGCGAGTTCCGTATTCAGTGGACCGTCAAGACGTAACGAAGCTAAATCATATTATCATATCTTTCCCGGTCAGTTAGCCCATATAGTATACATAAATCGCGAGCTTGTTTCATTTCTGTCCGAAACGGAGTTCATTTCATCCCGGGAATTCCTTGTTGAAGCACAGCTGATGGACGCGGTGCAGTGCGCTGATTTATCTGTTCGTTGTAATGGCCCACCAGAAATCGAGAGCGCCATGTGACGTAAGAGTGGCGCCAAACTTAAGCAGCGGCCAAGATGAGCTATCCATTCTGATACTTCCTGGGCTAGAATATCAAACCTGACGCTGGGTGGCCGAACATAAGGTCCAAGCCACGTAGTCTGGTAATGAGCGTCGGTGAGAAACTGGAGTCGGGTATTTACGAGATCGTAGGGCAGAGCGTTTCAAAATATCATGAATAGACGAACCCACAATGTCTAGCGTTTTATAAATTGCTGTTGCGAAACTTTAAGGACGCAATTCGTGAGACTCGTTTGTAAATTAAAGAAACATGAGCATGTTTTCTTTCCAAATTTACACAGGAGTTAAATGGCAAACGTGCTGAAGGTGTTAAACAATATTGTCATCGCGCTAAAAGTGATGAGTTCATGTCTACGCGCCTGAGATACCTCTTGGGGATGGGGACGGCTGCACTCTGGGGAACGGGCCAGCTCCAGACGGCTGCACCCCGTCCCCCCGGGGGAGGACGGACCTGCTCCGGGCAGCTGCTCGCCAGCGGACGGCCGGCTCTGGGGGTGGGGCCGGCCGCGGCCCCGGGGGAGCGGGTCAGGTGTCAGCGCGGCGGAAGCGGCGGCGACGCGGCAGGCGCGTCCTCGTGTCGCCGCGCCGCCGGCCAGGTGACGCGGCGATTTATTGCCCAGCGTCACGGCCCCGCGCGGCCGCCGCTGCCAACAGCAACAGCTGCGGTGGCGGCAGCGGCCACCGCCTCGGACTGCAACAGGGGTCAGGACCCACCGCGACACGTCGGGACCCGCTGCCGGCGGCACGCGGTCAGGGCGGAGACTCCCCGCCCCCCTCCCTGCGGCGCAGTCTGCCCGGCAGCCCATGGTCCAGGGCTCCGCAGCGCAGAACGCTACCGGTCGCCTGCTGTTCCCAGCCAGCCAGGATACTGGCCTCCATCTGCTCTCCCCTAATGGCACTTTGAATTGACAATAAACACGACCCCGCGCAAAATGCGCTCGCAACAGGACAGCCAGAGCCTTTAACCCGCGTTCCCTACAAACTGCCGAGGCAATACATTCTCCCACCGTCGCTATGACGTGTGAAAGTGACGCTTGAAAGCATATTTTACCGATTTTTTTTTCAACCGGGCTCATCACTGATTTTAATGTCCTGGTAAAACTCCAGTTTTCATATTCGTTGCTGGATCCTCCTGGCGCCCCACGCGACCTAACAGCGAAATCCTCCCGTCACAGCGCGAGTCTTGCCGAACCAACCTTAGACCTATGTTTTGTTTGACAGGATCTACCAAACATTTGATCTCCAACTATCACACACTTCACAAGACCGGCGTATTCATTGCGACTGAACGTTGACTGTGTGCCGCTCACATGGCTTTCACAGTGCACATCACGAGCACTGAACATGGGCCGGATGGTACTGTCGCTGTTTCCTCGGATGCGTAGTCAAGGCTTAGTCTTGGCCCCCTGCTGTCCCTGTTCAGTTATTTGATGAAACAGGTGAGCTCGGCGGCGAGCGCCCTCTCACAGGCTCCAGCTGTCCCACTGCAAAAAGAACGTCGAGATGCTCTGTTTGAGCCGTGCCCGTGCCCCCCCCCCCCCCCCGGGCCGCATTGTTGTCTGTGTTTGCCATTTATCAAAGCCTCACTCCATCTACACAAGGAGCTGTTGGGGCGTCCACCAGCTTACCGTGATCTCTGTCGTGTCTTTTCAGAGCGGCGCGAAGATCAACATTTCAGATGGCTCCTGCCCAGAACGTATCGTCACTGTCACTGGAGCGACGGACGCCATCTTCAAGGCGTTCACGCTGGTCTGCCAGAAGTTTGAGGAGGTGAGCGCACCTTCTACCTCGTCACGGAGGGTCGGGTCTGGCTGACGCCGAGCACGTAGCTTGCCTTGATACATGGGCCGTAGGCTGCCTTTTCCAGCAGTATGTTCAGGGGTGAGGTATCTGCCTCGGCGCTCCGAATTAATTACTATCAGGTCCAGGCCGCGGTGCTCGCCGGCGGTTTCAGGCATTCAGCGACGCGCGCGGGTCTGTACGCGCGCAGCTCGGACATTCCGAAGTCAGATGTGGTGCGCTGCAGTCCTGCGACACCAGCGTGTGGTTTCATATCTACATTGGCAAGATACCACGAACATCAGTCGCACGCACCTGCAACGGAGGGACGCCAAGAGTTGTATGCTACTCTCCGGCATCGCGAAACCTTGCGGGCGAGGATGCATATCAGCGTCAGAGGACTAAGCGTTTGAACTCGTATCCGCACCAGAGTCACGGCGGTGAAACTTTGTCGCCGGTGCTGAGAGGCAAGCGACTTGACATTGATGCAGCGCATCAGCACTCACTCAAAGCCAGGTCACCTTGGCTCGTCCGCGCTGGTGACGCACGTACTGGGCTCGTGGTCCTCTGTCAGTCAACCTGGCGCCCGCCTTCCGTGCCGCGTGGTGCCGATAGTTGCTCTGCCGTCGTGTTCTCGATTTTGACTTGGGTTAGTGGCCTGAACATGACATCATCGGTCCGGATCTGGTCGTCCACCGCCCACCGTGCTGAAGGACAAGGAGCGTGCGCCGGGGCTGCGCTGGTTTGGCGTCGCTGGGAGAAGGGCTGCGGCCACTGTCTGCGTCTGCCGGCCGCCATCGGGCTGACACTCCTGGCAAGTTGGCTGAAGACTGGGTCCGTAGCTGCTGTTCAGAGGCCGCCTCCGCTGGCCGGACAGCGCGCTGCGGCCTGCGATCTGCGCTCGGGAGTGTGCCGATCTAGGGCGGATGGCCGCCGTGGCCCGGCGCCGAGTAATGCGCCGCCCTGGGCGCCCGTGTCGCGGGCCCCGTGATGGATGGGCCCGTTTAGCAGAGGCCACCGCGCCCAGGTCGGCCCGCCTTCCCCGCCCTCGGCCGCGCGGCCGGGCCCGCCGCCCGACCTGGCGCCGCAGCGTTCGACCAAACAGCAGCGGCAGCTTCGCGGCGTCACCGCCGTCAACGGAGGCAGCCTTTTCGTGCCGCCGCAGCTCTTTGCAGTCTCGCAGAGACAGCCACAATGTGAACGTCTCGCTCGAAATCGACGCTAAGCAATCCAATTTTCGTCGCACGCTTAGCCGGGGAGAGTGGGATCAGCTCGGCACCTTATGCTCTCTCCCGGCACCACGTGCTAGGTGCGGGGCACCTTTCGCTGCCGTTGGCGGATCAATGAGACATCGTGGTGGTGCTCGTGCTCAGATTTTTAATCCAGATCCTGACCACTAATGTTCGGGGCGAGGTTTGCATTTTGAGCGGTGGGGGAAGTAGTTTGTTATTTATGGTTCTAGCAAGCGCATGAGATAACCTTATTAAGTTTCAGTGGTCATTAATTTCTTGAGTGTGTGTTCGGGAATAGCGCGACTAATCGGAACGCCTGATTGATGACCTAACTTAATTTTTAGGCAGCCCATTATTGCCCTTTACCCAAATTAATTAGTGCCCGCGTGATCAGGGTTGTTACAAAGTTACCAAATTCGAACGGCTGCCATTGGCCGGCACCAGCTGGGTCCCCGAGGAGCTTTTAGAGTTTATAATTTGGCCGAATCTGCGGAGCACACGGTTCTGACGTCGGTGGGAGGCCTGCGGACGACATCGGCGTCCCCCTCCTCATGATGGTGACGTGCGGAGCTGTCGTCTCTGTTGTCTCCTAACCATTGTTATGGAAGAGCGCCGCAGGAAGAGAAGAGGTACCTTCATTTTGGGACGTTATCTTCATGGGCTTTCCAGTGTTTTTTCCTACAAAAGTCACTCACAAATGATCATTTTTCAGCGAGGAAGAAATAGACCTTTATTCTCATCGCCCGTATGGAATCCCGCCGTCGTATCTGCACCTGGCGTTAGCGGCGCCAGCCTAGCCTGGCGCTCGCCGAGGCTCCAGTTCCGACTGCCGCGGAGACAGCCGGGGGTCGGCGGTCGTCATGCGTGCGGCCGCTGCGGGCCGTCGGCCGTGTCCGCCCCGCCGGCGGCCCCGCAGTCACGGCGGTGGCGCCGCCCTGCGGCCGCGCGCGGCGCCGTCTCCCAAGGGCGGAAGGCGGCCGGCCGAGCGGCGGCCGCCGGTCGATTGCTGAGCCGTAAATGGCCGGGGAATTATCGGCCCCGCCGCGGTGTGAAGCCGCCGCGGCGCTCCTGCCGCCCCCGGATGCGTCCAGCGCTGTCTGTGCCGCCCGCACACCTGGCGGCCCGTGCCGGCTCGCCGGCGTGTGTGGGGAAGGGGAGGAGGAGCCGGCAGCGGTGTAAATAATAGATGGCCGAGCTTTGAGCGGGCCGGCACGGCGTATCTCGGTGGCGAGCGTGCCGTTATCTGAAAGCGCCGCTTCTTTGTGCCACGCGCCGTCGAGCGTGACAACGATAGCGGTCCGCCGAGAAAGGCGGGATGAACGCCCCCTCCCTCCCACCCCCCACTCCTAGCGCTAACTCACTGACCACCTGTCTCAGAGGCTGTCTCGTGCGCGGCCGTTACACGGAAATGCTTCTCCGGGGGCGGGGCGTCTTGGCACTTTGCTGGCCAGCGTCGACCCGTATTGAACGTCAGGTGCTCAGCGGTGGACCGCTAATGGCACTAACCGCTGGCCCCACCGGCCAGCCGGCCGATTTTGTTGAAGCCACGCCGCTACCGTATGCATGGAGGGCCACGCCCTGCTCGTTGTCCGCTCGGTTCAGAGGTCACGACGAGCCCACCTGCTCGAGATACCGTCGTCTGCCGAGGAGCCCAACCACCAGCCGATCGGGTTATGTCCCGTTCTAAAGGGATTCCGCGGCTGCAGGGGTGAATAATTAACTTGTGACGGCGTGGACGTGCGTTCCATACTGTCCACCATCTGGGCCTCGGCTTCGCTGCTGCAAGCGACGGAACAGATCGGGATGACAGTGGTCTTGGCGCTCGCATGCTTGATGTGCGAGGCAGGCGTCCCGTTGCGCTCCCCTGCACTGCCGAGTTCTCCTGCGCTCTGCCGGGTCCCGTGCCCTGCCCCTGTTTTCCTGCTGCGCCGGCAGTCTTGCTGGGCCGCCCCAGGGCCCGCCGGCGGGGCTGGCGCGCGCGGCGCGTCGGGTGCGATATTCTGGCCGCGCCATTACGGCCCTGATTAATAGGCGTGCCTAGCGTCCGACAATCGGGGCGCGACGCGACAGAGACAGAGTCGACGCCACGTGCGGTCGCCGTGTGGACGGCACCTGTGTCGCCGCGTCACCGCCGGCCGCCGGCCATTTGGCACCGGCCCGGGTCGGGCCCGCGCCGCCGACGCGGCCCGGCAGCGCTGCGAGCGCCGGCCCCGGGGCCGACTGTGGCCTCCGGGGGCCGGCCGCAGTCCGCCAGGACCGTCTCACATTACGTGGCCGGCTCTGGGGATCGGTGCCCGGCGCGGTGTCCATCGGGGCGGGTCCGCGGGCGAGCTCGCCGGCGACCCCTCGGGGTGATCCAGCTCAGTGTCGCAGGGTGTGGCACTGTCCCACTTGCGCTGCAGCGTCGGGCTTCCCGGACGGGCGGCTAGGACGAGTGGTGTTACCGGGACCGCGTCTTGCTCCGGCTTCTGTTCTTAGGCGCGCTCGTAGTCGTTGGGATCGGCCCTGCCTTGTTTTGTCTGTACGGGGATATATAGGCAATGTCACTTGCAAATTAGCGGCAGGCACAATGTTGCGGTGGGTCCTGGGAACCACCATTGACTAGAACATTTCTGCACCCGCGAGGGACTCTATTTTTTAGTCCCTCCTTGTCCCTGGGACCAATTAGCAGATCTGTTCGGCTCAAAATACATTCGAAAGCCCCGTGGACCACGGATCGAGAAGATGTATTTTTTGGTTACCTGAAAATCGCTGATGACTCCCGAGACGAGAACACTCGGATATCCTTTTTCAAATAAGACCAGCCGCAATTTCTCATTACAAATCACTATTTAGTGCTTCATGGTTAACTACACTCAGGTACAACACTTGGACGTGCTCCTCCAGGGAACCATATTGGGGGCACCGGCTTAAGGTCACTGGAGCTCTATGCAAAGAAGGACCAAACATTCCCCTGGTTCACTATGTGTTACACACGTGTTACACATGCTTTGGCGCTAAATATGTAGGTGGATGTCAAATTTAAGCGTCACTGTCGATTTCGGCAGACGTGGCCTTGCTGACTTCAGAGACCGGGCCATGCTTGAGACCAAAAACAGCATGGCATGCACAACGGGCAAATAGGTACTAAGTTGCAAGCATTTTGGAATAAAAAGTTGTCATGGAATATAAACGTATTTATTCCCCTATGATGATGACCTGTGATGAGATATCCTGCGGCCTCTTATCGCCTAATCCAACAAAAACACGTTGCATTGCCAGGTTCGACTTACGTTGCGGTCCTGCAGCTGGGGCAGCTACGTTTTCAAGTGATTATTTATCCAGACTTGTAATGTAAACAATTTATTTAGATACGTTTGCCTCTCATTCGCTGATGAGGGAGATAACACGAAAAATGCACGATGGTAATATTGCGATCCAAATAATACCTATCACACATGTCGATATAGATTTATACTTTTTCCTTCGCCGCTACCCGAGAACAGGGTGGCCAGGAGTGCTCCTCCCTCCATCCCAGAATATAGGTATAGATGTACGAATTATATATAGGTATGCAACAAATCATGCTACCAAATATTGCAGTTTGATTAATGATGGCACTGTAAGATTGAGTCAGGAATGAAGAGTCAGATGTGCGAGTTAATCAACGGCTGGTGTTCTTTCTGTTTGATACATGCTTGAGCGAAACCCCTTCGATGGAGCATCGTTAAATGCTGGTTACTTTCGATTTCCTCTATTTTCTGTGAAAGCTGGTGTGGCCGTTGTGATAACTGTAGTGACAGAACACACGAAACCGATTGCATATCATGCCATACCAGTGCAGCGAATAGTTTTAAAAATCAGTTGCCCTCGAAATTGTTTGTGGTGTCATCGTGTCATCAAGCAAAGTTGTGCTCTGCTAGTAAAATAATGTATTTTATGCAATTTCGATGTAATTGATAAACCTCTCCCAAATCGTGAGGCAAAGACACATTGGTTCAGGACAGGTAAGGTGAGACTAAATTTGCTGGCAATGCTGATGTTTTCGTGAACGATGAGTATAAGCATCATTATGGGAGATGACCATCTGGTACATGACCTTTCTAGGTTCAATGTCATTTTCGTTTTTGGCTAGGACTCCATGCTCTTATCCCAATTGATTCACTGGTGCTTTAAGCTATCTTCCAACATAAAATATTTGTTAAGACAGCTTTCTTATCTAATTGAAGCGTGCATAACGCATCAAAACAGCGGTCTGAACACGCGCTCGGGATGGGGCGGTGTCAATTTGCCCCCCCCCCCCGAACATTTTTTCCGAATGGTTTCCAAACGGCGCGGTGTATCCTTGCCAAATTTTGCATGGTTGTAGAAAGTTGAATAGCGGATCGTTTGGTATAAAATATTTAGATGTATATTTTGAAACTGCGGTGCACTAGGGTAAACTGCGGTACACACTCTTTTTTAGACATTTTCTTTGTGTCCCATTAAGACAGGCATTTGTCTGTGCTTGCATTTTTTAAATGCCAGTGTTTGAGATTTCTGTGGAATAGCTCCCGGACGTTTCAGCACCAGGACATTAGAAACAGGCACTACAATATTTTTACAATGTCAACCGCGTCGCAACACCCTGGTTCTTATGTTCTCCAAACAGAAATTTAAATAAGACCAAATTGAAGGCAAGTAATCTTGTGTGCATCAAATAAAAGAACCAGACCAAACATCCTCTTCCAACCATCAACAGGGGCCTCCAGTGTTGATTTGGGTGCTTTTTGGTGTTTTTGGAATGGGCCTACTGCAAATTTTGAATTCCTGACATGATCTGCCCCAAAGCTACACGGGCTGACGGCAAGGCGTCGTTAAAAAATTGCGGGTTGAGCCCACAGACGTTTTCCAGCTGGCATTCTCCAGCAGTCGGTCGGTCCCCGGAAAAACGCGGCGGAACTCTGACATCCAACACGGCTTGCTTCGCTCGCAGTAACCTTCCATCGCCCACGCTGTGAACCGATGATGCTTTTACGAAACCGAGAGCCTCCGAAAACGGTGAACGGATGTACATACATTTGCTGCTGTGGAATGGCTTTGCGAAATGCGGTCAGGGCTGTCAACGGTGCTCGCTCTGTTGATTCAGCCAGCACCAGAGCCAACTGCGCCATTCAGGGAAGTTTGGACGCCTTCTGCTGAGCGCGAATGCCTCCAGCATCCTTTTTAAGCCTCTCTCAAGTGTCCTGAACTGGGAAGGGTCGGCTCAGATCCTCTGCACCGAACCGGGATCAATTGGACACTTCGGGCAGCAGCACCAGCGCTGAGAACCCGAGCAAAAAAAGCTTCAAAGGCCGAGTATTGTTCTGCTGGAGTTGGAGAGGTGTCGACTCGGGTCCTAAGCTTTGTCGAGGGAGTCTGACCCCCAGGCGCTGACTTCAGACGTCGCTGGCGGCTGCGGAGAGTTGTCTCGGCCACTCGCCGCTAGCTGTGGCACCCTGGGGACCCCTCAGCGCGTATTTGATCTGAGGAGTGGCTCCGTAGTTGCTCTGAGCCGCGCTCCCCTCGTCTCCACGACGTCAGTGATTTTAATGCGCTTAATGGTGTGCGATATCCGAGGTGGCTAACGGCTGGGCGGACTGCAGTCGTTTGAGCACTTGCAAATTTTGGTAACTGTCCTACCATGATCTCAAGTAGCACTTCGTAAGACTGTAGATCACTATAAAATAATTGACATCCACGACAGCTGCTCACATCGGTGTCACAGACTCAGACACCGGCTGTTAGAAGGGAACTAGTGCCCTGCGCAATGTTTCTTAATTAAACCGGGATTTCACTGGTTGGCAGGCGCTGCCCATTGCCCTGTGCTTACGCAAACGTCACCTCAGATTTTGTCCTTGGTACTGACAGCCACGGAGAGCCGGCTAGCCCCACACCTGTCACGTGCCCCTCCCTCACGGCATCTGCCAGCACAGAGCGCTCGTGACCCCGTGCCTCGTGACTGGCTGGGGTCGGCGGTGGGTGCAGAGTGGCTGCCAGGCGGCGGGCGCGGACCGGCACCTCGCGCTCGACTGGCACCGCCTGGAACGGGCGCGTCTCCGTCTGACGCGCTCGCGACGTGAGGCGGCCGCTCCGGTCGATGCCGGGACAGGCGCACACAAAGAAGGGGTGCGGGCAGAGGGCAGGCGCGACGGGCCCTGCTGCCCCGCTGGGAGCTCGATTTTGCTGGTACAACTGCATCGGCGAGCACGATTTTCGTGGTAGAGTTCCGTCCGGGAGCGAGATTTCCCCGTTTGAACAGCATGCGACAACCCGGTTTCCCCCGTACGCCTCCACCTGGGGACAGAGCTCCCGTTGAGCCGCGGTCGGCCCTGCGGCCCTGCCCATCCCGTCACGCCGCCGCGTCACCCGGCCTCCACCCTACTCGACCGTCGAGCCGTCCGCGCAGACAGCCCCGTCCATTATGGGTTGGGTGGCGTTTGATGGTGTGACGCCCCGCCGCCGGCGCTGATGCTCGGCCCTGACGAACCCTACCGAGACCGGGGCCCGCCGCCGCGTGTTCAATATTTCCGACGGCACCTGGTGGTTGCTCGCGGTGCGAACGCGGTGCCACGGCCCCAGCGTCCGGCCCGCGCCGAGCCCGATTGGCCCAATTCCGTATTTCCAGCGGCCGGTCAAGTAGATTAAAAGTTATCTGGAAAGTCACAGGCGCCGCTGATTGATTGGGTAAAGTTAAAATTTCCTTCATTATTGGGATAAAACTTGGTGGCCGTTACTCCAGGCCGACATTGTCATCGGAGGTAGTCGGCTGGGGAGCGATTACTTCATCACGGAACGATCGTTTTTATAGGTTTACGTCACATTAGTGCCGCTCCGGCACCACCAGCTCCATATTGCCGGCTCCTTACGCGGTCCCCGGTGTCTAGGGTCCAGCATTAGCTGGCGCAGGCCGGTGGCAGCGCGGGGACTGCCGGGGACGCGGGGGCGCGTGCGTGGCGTCGATGGGCGCGGCCATCTTGGCCGCCGGCGGCCCGCCGCGGCGGGGGCTCTGGCCGCGCCGGCTGTTTGGGTCGGGGAATCCTGACGCGGCCGCCCGAAGGCGTGTCACGCCGGGGGATTCCAGCGGTGCGCGAGCTGGCTCAGCACCGACCCGGGGCGTGACAGCGTGTTTAATTCAGCCCGGCGGCGGGCCGAGGTCGCGCCGAAGTTCCGCCGCCGCCGACCGCGCCGCTCGACCTACGCCGTAACCTATGAATTCGATATAGACGCGGCCACGCCGAATGTGTTGCTCGGAGACGCAGCTGAATATTTGATTTGCGGCCGAAGTTGAGGCGTGGTTTACGAGTCGGCCGTGCCCTGCGTGGGCCGTTAGAGGCGGACGTGTGTCCCACGGCCGGCCACAAATGTCTGTGCTGAGACGCGCCCCGCCGAGCCTATAACGCGATATTACGCCGCCTAACTCATCGGCCTGAGTCGGCGCGCGGCGGGCGGAGCGCACGGTCGCCTGGGAGACAGCGCTGCTGTCGTCTCCTGCCAGCCAGACGGTCTCTGGAGGAGCGCCGCGTCGGAGAGAGAGCGGCTGGCATCGCTGCTGAATAAAACAGCATCGCGTGCTGCAACATTAACAACGTAGTGAAATAATCGCGGATAAATCGAAGTGGAAGGGCAGAATTGTCAGGGAACTGCAAAGCTATCAGGAAGCCTCAAAACCGCAGCATCGTCGCTTGGCGGCGCCTTCTGGGTCAGATGATTGATGAGTCCACCCCGCCAATGGAAGAGTACGCTGGTTACCTAGTGATAGTGACGACGAGCGATTACATGGACTGCATCTCGCCTGTGAAGTGAGGTACGAGTGGAAATCTCTGCGCCACTCACGTCCTGCTCTGCCGATCTGGTACTCGTCGCGATGACGTCTGATCCCAATGCGGCCCAGAGCTGCGATACGGGATCCTAAAGCCGCCTGGGCGTCGCGCGCTGTCCACGGGTCGCGACGTTCCACGTGGCTGAGTTCAGAGCCGCTCAGAGCGCCGTGGCGCGGAGACCAGGCTACGCCAGTCCTCAGAGTGGGCCGGCGTCTCCCTCTGACGCGCGACGCCCGGCCGCGCCCGCCTCGTGGGTCGATCGCCCCGGCGGCCGCCAGTCCGACCAAGCGGTCTCTGAGCCCGCAGGGCAGAGGACAGAGGTGACGACAGTCTGGTCTGTGCCTCTGCAGGTCCGCAGAGCGAGGCGGTCTGACGCACACGGCGGTGTCCAGCGCACAGAATGGTGGTCAGACAAGCGTCTTTGATTCTGCAGGGGCGGGGGGTTCGGTGTTCTGGTCCGCGCTTCCACGTCTGCACAATGGAACAATGCGCAGAACTTCTCTGAGCTTGCGGCGCTGCGTTGTGGTGCTTTGGGACTGTTTAATGACGGGGCCTGTGGGCGAATGACGTTCTGTTATGTACTAATGGAGTTGAACATCATTAGACCCACATGCTAATGGCGGGACTGGCCCTCGTGCCCGTGCCCAGGCGTCGCACTGCCGGATGGGGTTCCGACCGGCGTCTCCGTCCATTGCAGGCGGGCGGGCTGCAGGGCGGCGGCGGCGGCGGCGTGCCCCGGCCGCCCATCACGCTGCGCCTCATCGTGCCGGCCTCCCAGTGCGGCTCCCTCATCGGCAAGGCCGGCGCCAAGATCAAGGAGATCCGGGAGGTGACCGGCGCCAGCATTCAGGCGAGTGTCGTGCCCACGCAAACCGCCAAACCGTGCGGTAGTGTCGTGCCAATGCACACCGCCAAACCGTGCGGTAGTGTCGTGCCAATGCACACCGCCAAACCGTGCAAAAGTGCCGTGCCCACGTACACCGCCAAACCGTGCAGTAGTGTTGAGCCCACGCACACCGCCAAACCGTGCAGTAGTGTTGAGCCCACGCACACCGTCAAGCCGTGCAGTAGTCTCGTGCCCACGCACACTGCCAAGCCGTGCAGTAGCGTTGTGTCCACACACACCGCTAAACCGTGCAGTACCGTTGTGCCCACGCACACCGCCAAACCGTGCAGTAGTGTTGTGCCCACGCACACCGCCAAAACGTGCAGTAGTGCTACGCCCACGCACACCGCCAAACCGTACAGCAGTGTTGTGTCCACGCACGCCGCCAAACCGTGCAGTACCGTTGTGCCCACGCACACCGCCAAACTGTGCAGTAGTGTTGTGCCCACGCACACCGCCAAACCGCGCAGTTGGAAGAGTTACCGTGATCAGTCGCGTTGAAGTCTCGATGCGCCTAGCTGTGTGGGTGAAAGCTAGTTTGCTGCTGGTGGTTGTCTATATTTACATTATTTGCTGACCCCATGTAAGAATAACAACCTTTCCTGTTTTAAGTACTGACGCAAAAGTTGCACCATTGTCGGCGCAGCTCGATCCGCTTACTTGGGAAACTCCCGGTCTCAGTGATCACTCGGCTGCCCACGAAGCCTGACCAGTGCCTAATCCGGTTTTCATGTCAATTTGCTGACACAGTGGAGGATGTGCTTGGTTTTTGTTTTGTTGAATTTTTTCTGAATTTTTTGTTTCGTGTCTGTAGCGTAATCTTCGGAGGTGCCTACCACCACCCCGCCCCGTTCACAAAGCGAGGGCAGATATTAGAAACACAGAAACAGTACAACAGTTATTGGGGCACTGTAGATCCGTCGACCTAGGGCGTGGACTCTCTGAACTGCTCGAGTTAACGCCCGCCCGGAGTGAAGGAGTGAAGTTCCATATTCATTTGGGGGTGCAGCCCTCCAACGTTGAAAAAGTGGGTCAAATTCACAGGAAACCCGTTTTGGGGCGTTTCGGGCGAGGCTAAGTTTTGCCACTAGCTCTGTCCAAACCGCCCCAAACATATTTTACGAAACTACGTTCTCGCTTAAAATATGCGAATGCGTTCACTGTTCTTTGTCGCGCACAGATCAAAGGCGTTAAATACAAGTTCGCCGCCGAGATCTGAATAGTAAAGGGTTCGCAGATGAGCATGTAGGCGGAGCGCCGTCTTCACGGGACGCAATCCGTTAGTGGAGGCGCTTATCGCGCCTTTACCGTCCCTCGTGTCGCCATGGAACGGCCCTGTAAACCCGGCTAGCCAGCGAGATGGCATTTGGCCCGCGTGTTCGCGGTCCAGACGCGACTAACCAGCATTCGCCGGAACACATCAGATCCGGCCGACCCACAGTGCCCGGGGGCAGGTCAGATCCTGCAGACCAAGAGTCTGATGCGTCTGACCCGTGGCTGAGGAGTCTGACTCGTATAGAGTCCCCACTCCGTTCGGCCCGAGCCACATCCGTATTCCTTCCGAGCTGTGAGCGTTGCCGGCTCCGTCTCACCGGCGCCGCGTCCGCAGGTGGCCAGTGAAATGCTGCCTAACTCCACGGAGCGAGCTGTCACCATATCTGGTACCAGCGACGCCATCACGCAGTGTATCTACCACATCTGCTGCGTGATGTTGGAGGTGAGAGCACGCCGCCGCCGCGGCTGGCGCTTCCATTCGCCGCGCGCACTCTCATTAAACTGGCCCGCCGGCCTTTGTACCGTAATTGCCCCGTTATTGGCATGTTATTGTCATCCGACCGACTCTCCACACGGAAGTTACATGATTATAGCCGGCTTTATGGGGCCATCTCGGCCACCACGCGGCCTCTATTGCTCGCTTCGCCTCCGGTGACGGCGGCTCTGCGACCGGCACGCCCCTGTTGCAGTCGCCGCCCAAGGGCGCCACCATTCCATACCGGCCCAAGGCGCAGGTGGGCAGCGCCGCCAGCCCGGTGCTGTTCGCCGGCGGCCAGAACTTCGCGCTGCAGGGCGGCTTCGGTCTGGCTTCGGGGCCGGACGTGAGTAGCGGCCCGCTGCCGTTCATGCCGGCGCCGTCGGCGCCCGGCCACTCGTCGCCGCCAGTCATCGCTCCGCACACGCCTCTGTCGGCGCATATGTCCCCCCACTTCCTGGACGCCAAGGCCGGGCACATCCTGATGCCGAGCCTGCCGCCAGCCTTCCCGGACGTAAGTGGCCGCAGTGCCGTCTGCCTGTGACGTAGTGACCGGCCTGCCGCCCGCACGGCCTCGTCCCCACCCGACCCGTCGCCCTGCGTGACATCTGCCCCGCCCACCCCGTCGCTCCACGTGACCTCGTCCTAACCCGGTCCGAGCTCCGGCGTGACCCTGTCCCGTCCGGCGCACCTGTCGTGACCTTTGTGGCTGGATCCGCCGCTCGCCGTGAGCACTCTCCTGCTTCCCTGTGTGCTCTGTCATCCACCGGTCTTTCCGGCCCGTTCGCCGCCCTGTCCGAGCTTGCTGGACCCTGACCTAGTTCGATCTCTCCCTGACCTCGTTCAACCCTCTCCCCGACCGTCAGCCGTCGTGTGCGGAGCGATGCGGCCTTCTGTCCTCGAGCCCCGGCTCGCCCCGCTCCGCCCCGTCGGGAAACGACCCGACCACAGCCCCGTATCGTATACCTGGCCTGCACGACCGCTGTTTTACCTGCGGGACGAATGCCGTGTTTCCGCCCTCGTGGTGTCTCCAGTGTCCAATCACTGACCGCTGCATGGCTGGTCCGAAGCTGTTGCAAACGGAAGCGACCATGGCATTTCAGCCGGCTCCCCGCCGCGACCTGCGTCGTACCTTCGCCTGTGTTCCCCGCATGGCCGAGATGAGAGGGCGTCCGCGCATTTGACTTGGCTCATCATTATGAAGTGCTGATGCACCGTCATTGGCTCCCCGACTTTTGCCGCTCGGGGTCTTTAACGTTAAGCAACAGAGACCAGAGCACACACGTCTAAGTCATTGTGAGATGATGTTACATGACAATGCGCGTGCATTACGCTTAGATCTCTTGTGACGCTCTCCAACGAACGTCTCTCGTCATTTCTCGCATTATTGGCGTGTAAATAGCGCTTCACTGATTGTTAAACGCACTGCTAGCTACCCAACATGTGTTTAAATCAGCTGACGTATGGATTCACATGGAGCGGCTGGCCGTTACAGCAGTGCATGCCTCCAAACCGCACCGGCTGACACCGTGACCCGAGCCGGATGCAGTTCGACCCGATCTGACCGATTGCTCCCCGCCATTTTCCAGCCGAATAAGTCTAACCCACTGGCCAGCCTACTCGGAGGCCTCGGGGGAGCCCACAACACGCTTCAAGCCAACACTTCAGGTCAGTTTACTTAGCGTACACGTTTGAGAGTTCGAGGCACTGGGTCGCTGCTGGCAGCTGCTCAGTGCCTTGACTTCATTCAGTTGTAAGCTATCTATTGGTAATGTGAAGTGATGTGGTGCAGTAGGCATGGACACGGCCGCCATTGGAGCGGTGGGATCTGGAGCCCAGTAACCTTAAGGCAGATGGGACTATCTCTGTGATTTGTGCAAAATATCGCCAAAACGGAAGTGGACCCAAACAGCTTTAACGTGTAGTTGTGCCCATGTCAATAAGCAATGCCTACGTTTTAAGATGCGCTCCTCATATACAAGTACTTCGTCCAGCAGACTTGTGACACACCGTCACGCAATGTAACGAGTGAGAGCACGGTCTTGGTGCGCCTTCTTCGTTAAAATATAATATTTGTTGAGCTGTATACATAATCAGGAGTAACGCAAGCGCATATGTCTGTGCTACGACCTATTGAAGACAACAATGTTAACCGGGGTAAACCGTAAACAGCGCGTTGCTGGGGCCGGTTATCCCCCCACCCCGCCCCCACCCTTGGGTTTTCTGGCCGTTTCTGGCCTCCGAATGAATAGCGGCAGCGGCTTAAAACTTCCCATGCCATTACAGAATTACCACGGCCGTCCAGTGACGAAATATAGCTCACCAGGCCATGCTTGGTCATGTCAAAATGACGTTGTCAGCATTGGCATTTTCGTGTTGCTAGTGTTGCCTGATATACGGTGTTCTCTGGAGAGCAGGATTTGAAACACAATGTATGAGGTCAGCAGAGGTCAAATCGGCGGGTAAATCTGATGCCTTGATTTTATAACACGTCATCCTGCGGTACCATTTGTCTTGTGCTGTCTATCTCGCAGACACAAAAAGACAGTCACCATAAGTCCGTGGACCCAGGCGGATTTTTAAAAAAATTAAATAAGTATCGATAAAATGAATAAATAATTAGATAAAACTGAATTTTAGAAAAAATAGCAAAACGGGCAGTTTTACAATTGAGGCTAACTGGTGGCCGGGTTCTCAGAATCACAAAAGCTGGCAGCTCTTTAACTAGCCACCGTACAAATCCACACCTGGGCTTTTACATGATCCATGCAGAGAAGGCTTTGAGCTCCCATTGCTGGGCGCCATGAGTTCTGATGCTGAACACAGCCTACATTTAATATACCTCGGGCACTGGGTAAGCGGCGATACCAAGACGTGATCAGGATATATATTAAGAATGTCCAACATTTCAAGGCAGTGTTGCCGGTCAACAGCGACAATGACAGCTGCTTTGAAACGTTGAGCACTCTCAAAATATATTCTAATAAATGCTTGATATCGCTGCTTGACCAGTGCCTCTGTCGGCATTGAAGTTCAATAATTATCAGCAGATCATACATCATTTTCATTAGATTGATTTATATACATCTGTTTGTACTTTATTTTGTAGACGTAGATTGTTGTCCGCTTTTGCAGTAGATCAGAAAAAAACCGATAATGGTATATCGACATTCCAATCAATTTGCAAATGCGAGTAACAAGTGCTCACGAATGAGTATTTGTATGTAGTCTTGATCTAACATGCCACGCGATCAGTGTTCAATGAGTCACAATATCCAAAACTATCGATAACAATTCGAGACACGGAAATTGGTCTTTTGGTTCCGGAGGTAGAGAGGGAACGAAAATTGTCCCGCTGTAACTCACGAGTGGCTAAATGCTTCACCCTTTGCCAGAATATGCCGCAAGTATCCAGTTCATCACGGCACAGTTCCCGAATTCGTAGAATTCCGATTCGCCATGTGGTTGTCAGACATGACGCTCTACAGCCAGCTGGCGTCGAGCCTTGGATTCCGCGACCAGCCTACTTAGGTTATTTAATTATGGTCCACATCACAAGAACTGGATGTTTATAACGCTTCCGTGTGTAGCCTTTGTCACCAGTTATATTTTGAGCTGCTACTGGCGCTGCTCGCGCTAGGCGCATATGACGGTTGGCTGCCTTAGTGGCGCATTTCGGACCCATTCTCGAAATCGCTTCGGGTTGAGCAGAGAAGAACAGTCACTCTCCATGCGCGTCGGGTTTTGCTAAATATTGAAGGCTCAGACCGGCAGCGAGTGTGCCTGGCACGAATTCGCATGCCTCTTGGGAACGTGCCAGCGCTTGGCACACTCGATTCCAGCTGTGATTTATGGAAACGCGACCCGCGTCACAGCATAGTTTGTGATGACGTCATCCACTCACCATGTGTGTCCAACGAAAATTCTTTGTGAGATTTCGCAAAGCGCCTCCACGGTCGTAGGACTTTTGTGTCATCACGTCTTGACCCAAATATCAGACATACGCGAAGGAGGATCTCCGTGCTCACAACAATCTGAATCGATGGAGAATGCTCATAGAAATTCGGCCGCGCGCCATTCATTTTATTTCTAGCATTTCTTTTCTGCAATCAGATCGGCTCTATTTTGGTGTGTGGCAGTCATCCACAGCTCAGGCCACAGCTCACAATCGGTCGTCGGTCAGACGAGGTCAAGTCATGGACCGTTGCCGCTCATCTATCGGACGACCTCAGGTCATTGATGACAGTAGCACGCCTGGCAGACGACCTCAGACCACAAACCACAGCCAGCCATCTGTCGACCGATCCACTGGTCGCCGATCAGTGGGAGACACAGCGGCCGGCTGTCTGTCTGAGCTTTGAAGGTCACAGCTCACAGCCGACCCACTATCCCTCTTGGCCGGCCCTGGCCCGAGCCGCCTGAGGCGGGCGGGGACGCCGCGCCTGGACGGGTCAGCACGGCCGCCGTGGCGGTCCGCCCGAGCCGCGGCGTGCTGAATATTTCAGCTGGGCGGCGCCGGGCGGCGGCCCGGACTCACCTGTGTCCGGCGGCCGGGTGTAAATCCACGATAACCCAATCAACGGCACTGGCCCGGGCGCGCCGTCACTCACTGGCGCCCGGCCGACAAAGCCGCGACTGCATAATGGAGGAGGCCGACGGCCGGCCGGCCGCGCCGCCGGTCGGGGAAGCCGGCGCGCCGCCGTAGGCGGGTCGGAGACGACCTCAGGTCGTTGGTCAAACCTTCTCGTCTGGTAGATGATCTGCCAGACCAGACGTCAGGCCATTGGTCCCAGTTGTCAGACCTCGGTCCACAGATCGTAGCCAGCCTGCTGGCAAGGTGGCTGCAGGCAGCAGATCACGGTCGCCAGTCTGGCGGATGACCGCAGACTAGATACATCAAAAGGATTCCCATCGACAAACATGAGATTCTCAGGGCCTCCCACTAGACAGACATCAGTGGGGGCTGGTTCGAACAACCAATTTTGGACATGAGTGGTTCACTTGTCGCGGGATCGCATAGGGGGTGGCGTTTCCTTTGTTACTCTCGCTTGTCGTCCCTAGGATCCGTTGTCTACCTTTCACATCATTCACGGATATCCTCTCCCTTATTTGACTCGTCGACTTTGCCCTTGTCTGCTCTGGCGCTTCAGCTTGCCAGTGGCGTCTTTGTCATCCCTCCTGCCGGGCCATGAAACCTCTGGCACGATACTGACACCCCTGGTTGAGCACTCACACCTCTGGGCGGCCGCTGATGCCTCTGTTTGGTCAATGGCACCTCCGTTCGGCTGTTGACAGCCATGGCTGACCGCTGACACCACTGGTCGGCCACTGACACATCTGGTGTCGGTCGCTGACACCCCTGACCAGCCACTGACATCACTGAATGACCACTTACACCACTGGGCGGACACTGTCATCTTCAATTTTCGGTCACTGACACTCCATGGCCGACCACTTACACCCCTGGCCGGTCACTGATGCCCTGGCCAACCGGTGACATCCTGGTCGGCCACTGACACCCTTGATCGGACACTGACCACTCTGGTCGGCCACTGACATCCATGGCCGACCGCTGACACCCCTGATCGGCCACTGACACCTCTAACCGACCGTTGACTCCCCCGGCCGACCGTTAACACCTCTGTCCGGGCTCTGACTCCTCGGCCCGTCAGGCTCCCCACGCCGCCGCTCCCCTGGGCCCGCCCGCCACCATTGTCGCGCTGTCGGCGCCTTTTCCGGCGGTCACGTCCAAGCTCGGGGAACAATTCCCACGCCTTCCGCAAGCAGTCGGGACGTCGCGCTGGCGACGGACAGCCTCGCGGCGTGCGGCGAATGCCCGAGCGGACTGCGGGGCTCCGGGGAGGCAGCGCGTCTCGACTGCCGCGGTCGGCGGCGCAGGGATCGGTCCACGCGCCACGGCCGCGCCGCTCGCAGCCGCCGCTATTGTACGGACTCAGGGTTGTCTTTGGCACGTAGCGCACCTGGAATAAGCACACATTGTCTGCATTGGATTTCATTTGCCAAGCAGCGTTGTGCTCACGTGAATTATGAAACTGAAGTTATGCCCTAAGACGTCTGACGTTTATTATGCTCCATGCTTATAAGCTTTTTTATTTTTGAGTGCATCTTGATTAGTGCCCAACTTGACTGCTCATAGCCCATTAGGCTCGATGCGAAAATATGAATTCCGAAAGACAGCTGTTCCAAGACGCATGGACACGTGGAAGCATGGCGTCATGCCCCTCGCCTAACCTTCGAGCCTAGAGGCTTTCACTAGATATCGAGCGATTTTGCTGGAGTTTGGGTCGAGTTCGCAGGAATTTGGATACCATTTAACATTTGCCCCCCCCCCCCCCCCCACTCGTAGGGAAAATCCTGACTACGTGTCTGGATGTGGGCGATTGTAGCGAGGTAGTGAGCTCACCCCAGCTCTGACCCGCCCCGCAGGTACCAGTTCTGACCTAACCTGACCTGGATGACGGCATCGGATCTCGTCGCGATCCCATGCTATCCTCCGCGTGTTGGCTCGATGGTCGCCCGGCCGTGGCTGCCCGCGCGCCGGCCAACCTGGCCTGACTCGGCGGCTGGCCCGTTGCAGCGATGACGGCTCTGGCCGCCCTGGCAGGGTCCCAGCTACGCGCGCCGCCCACCGCCGGACCCTGCACGCAGTCGCACGAGATCACGGTGCCCAACGAGCTGATCGGCTGCATCATCGGCAAGGGCGGCACCAAGATCGCCGAGATCAGGTACACTCACTTCCCCCTCCCCTTCGCCGTCGGCACCGGGCCCGCTCTCTCGCGCCGGCCCAGCCAGCAGCTTAACTCAATAGGGCGCTGAGGAGCGGCGAAGCATTGACCCGTTCTCGAATACTGATCAGCCGGCGACGGGTCGCCAGCCGCTCGCTCAAACGGTAGACGCGCTCTAAACGGAACGTCAACACGCGCTAACCCGCGTGCGCTGTCTTGGCGGGCTGCTCGCTTGGGAACTGAGCTAACTCTTGAAGAATGGTTTGTTGTTGGTGCATTTGACGTACGAAAGTGGCTGTTGACGTGGTGTGAGGCTTGATTTCGCTACTTCTCTCGTGCGCCTATCTGCACTGTTTTCCGGTGGTGATGTCGCTTCATTTATAACGCTTTGGTAACGCTTTCTAATTTTGACCTGTGGCCCGCTCTGCTTCTGTCGCCGGCCATCAGGAGACCCCATGCCACTTTTACTAACTCACTGCGGTATCCCGTTTACTGCTGGCTTTGCGTGCAGCTCACCTGAAGGAGTGTGAATGAGCACCCACTAACCGCCTAACACCGCCACGCTGTCTGCCGCGTCCCCAGGCAGATTACCGGCGCCATGATCACTATTTCAAAGTTCGATGATACCACGGAGGACTCCACCCACCAGGACCGCGTCATCACTATCAAGGGCACTGGCGACCAAGTGGCTCTCGCCCAGTACCTGATCAACACCAGGTGAGCCGCGCCGCGCGCGCCATCTAGCCGCACTCGACGTCACCGGCGTGTCTCGGCCGCTCCACAGGCAGATCAGCGGCGCCACTATTCGCATCAGCAACTGCGAGGAGAAGGACCGGGAGTGCGGCAACACGGACCGCACCATCAGCATCACCGGCGCGCCGGACAACGTGGCGCTGGCCGTATACCTCATCAACCTGAGGTCGGACCCTGCCCCGCTCGCCCTGCATGCGTCACCACCGCCGCGTTTGCCCGCCGCCGATCCCCGCCGATTACCGGCGGCGCCGGTCTGCGGACGAGAGCGTTCCAATTTCCTGCCGGCCTCTCGACGCCCGGCCGGCGGCTGGTGATTTACTGACGGCGTGGTGCGACGCTATCACGCACGCGGCGTCGCGCGAGCCGATTTATGTGTGGCGAGGCCCGGTATGACAACAGCCTCATCTTCTGCCCGCTTTCCATCCACCTCACCAGCTGCAGCTCGGCCATCCGCCCGCCGCCGCCAGAGCGCGCCGCAGCTGACGCAGACTGACCTGACCTGGTTTTGCACGAGAGAATCGGGTCGGTTCTGAACCAGGCGAATCAACAGGCGAATCGGGAGTTGGCTGAAAGTTCTCTAGAAAAAAATTGAAACTGAAAGCCACCTGACAAAATGTTGAAAGTAGCAAAACCGATTTGGATGCACCAACCGTCACAAATTTCCACCTTCATTGATTGATGGCCTTTTCATCGCAAGTGTGCATTCTGCTCGATATATGTTGAACTTCCTTCTTGGCTATGTTTGAGACTTATTTGAATCAATCTCAGGCCAGCAACATATACTGAAATGCGCTGTCTTTGGCTTCATGTTGCGCCCTTTAATTTTGTGATGTATTTTACTGGTCATCCTTTTTCAAAAGATATGTTACGATAGTGCTTGCTATCTGTTTAATAAGTTCCACTGTGCTTTACGTCTGATTTTCAATGCGCCGTTGGACGCGGAACCTCGGCTGGTCTCACATTTGGATTGCATGGTTTCGTATGACTGCGTGGGGCTCTATAAGAGGCAGCAAGCACGTGAAGTACCTCACTCATCGTTCCCCACCTGCACTGTGGGCACCACCAGGAAGGTTTCCCTCTTCTGTATCGCAGTCAATTAGCATGCAGCATGCTTTGTCCACCAGCTCTGTTATTATGGTCCTAGAAAGCAAACTGCTGTCATCAATTGTCTGTTTTTTACTCTTTGGCAACATGCTTGCATACACATTGGGTGTTGTGCTTGTTGTTGGCATGCACGCTGCAGATAGAAAGTTTTCCCGGCCTGACCCGCTTAAACTCGCCACAGTCCACCGCCGTGTGGTCAAATATTAGAGAATGAACGGTTCTGAGGTCCAGCATGTTGCCAGCGCTAGCAGTGAGTCACTCTCAACTCGGGGCGCACTCTGTCAAGCGTCATATAGCTGTCGGTCTTTGGTCAAGCTCCAGAGCTGGCGGGACGCTTATCGCTTGTTTCTGTCGTTTGAGAGAGCTGCCCCAGTAGGCGTCCTCGCGTAAAGCTTCGGAGAACTACGGCTGCCAATCCGAGCGTGATCTGTACTCCCCGCCCAATCCACTTCCGAAACGCAATGAGGAATTTAAGTCTTTATGAGTCGACTGTTACCAGTGGTAGGCCTCATGCTACTAAGACGCCACGTCGTCCCGATTGCAGGGTACTTTTCCATATGTCGCAGCGTTTTTGTTGTCGAGGAAACTCGTATACCTGCTAGGTCGTAAAAAAATTAAGAACCGCAGATCACGGTACTTTGCTTTTGCGCAATTTTCTGTCAGCGAACTCGGATGCTGTGGCTACGTGCTCGCGGCCATCCGTGGCCGGCCGTCCCCCACCACAGGTGGCAGAGTTGGGGTGACGGTGAGCCGCCCGTGCCGTTGCGGAGTTGGAGCTGGCGTGCCACAAGGCCTGCCTCATGGCGACGCGACCGCTGCAGCTGTGCTGACTCACGACCCCTCTCTCGACAGAATATCGCTGGAGACGGCCAGCATGGGTGTCGCCGGCATGGGATTTCAGTACATCTCTCCCAACCACATCATCAAAGTACCAATCCATTGATATACGGCGGCGCCGCCGGGCCCTTGCTATGCAGTCATCCTGTGAGAGTCGCCGACACCGAGGCAGCCGCCACCGATCCGCCGGGGAGCAGTCTGAACAGCGACACGCCGACACGAATCTCTGAAACGTAGTGACACAGACTCGGGTGCACCGGCACGGACTCTCGGACACGCTGACACGGACTCCCTGGTGCACTGACGCGGACACCGACATGCCGACATGGCTCTTCGACACACTGATACGGACATCAACACGTCGGCACGGCTCTTTGACACACTGACACAGCTCTTCGACACACTAACACGGACATCGACATACTGACACTTTCATCGACACGTCGGCACGGCTTTTCGATACACCGACACGGCTCCTCGACACACTGACACGGCTCTTCGACATGCTGACACAGGCTCTCTGATGTACGGACTCGAAACTTTTTGACACGCGAGCACCAACCCTCTGGTACACGGACAAGTATCCTGACACGCTGACACGAAGTTTCTGACTCAAAATTTCCGACACACTGACCTGATCCCGATACACCGACGCGCCGTGGCGATCCCCGAGACGCCGACAGCAAGCGGCCAACCCTGCTCCTTACCTCGAAGATGCCCGCACCGCCGCCGTGCCACGACAAGCGCGTCGACCCCTGACGACCCGGGCTCTCCCGACACCGACGACGACATGACACGGACGCAGACGCCGACAGTCGGACCACGCGGGCTGGGACGCAGACTCAGTCCGCTCTGACCGCTCAGGTCGGGACGCAGATGCAATTAGCCGTTAGCCTGACTGCTGAGGCTGGGACTCAGATGCAATCAGCCGGACTGCTCAGACTGGTCTCAGCCGGACTGCTCAGACTGGGACGCAGATGCAATGGGTCGGACGAGCGCGGCCCGGGACGTGCGCACCGTGGTCAGGTCGCTCGCTCTGTGATGGGCTGTCGGGTCTCCATGGCCTGGCCTGCTATCGCACGCCGCTGGGCGCGGGCCACCTGGGCGGCTTGGCTCGGTAAGAATGCGTCATATTTTTGTAATCAGGCTTGGTGTCTTGTGTTGGCTATCGTGTTGCGTCTGTTTTCTCACAATATAAACTACCGCTACGCCAAATGGTGCTGTACATACGTAAAACGGGGAGTATTTTACACGTTCAACGGATAGGTGTGAATATCTTTTATAGCGCTCTGTACTTCTGCTGTTGTTCCTGCTCTGCTAGCATCGCCACTTGATGGCCTTATATCCTGTGTCTATCAGGCCTACCTACCCTGGCCTACGCCTCCCCTGCCCATCTCCGACTTGCGACCAAACCCTGCGTCTATCGGCAGCGCGTGACCCTCGAAACCAGCCCGACCCGCCCCCTGTCGTTGACCCGACCGCCGGCGACGGGGGTCTTCCCACCCCCAGCCGGCAGCCCCGTCTGCGGACGCGCGACCGTGGCTGTCGGGAGCCGTCTGCCTCTGACGTCACACCTGTCCCTGCCCGCTGCCGCCGCTGCCGGCGTCGAGCGGTGGAGGCCGGCTTTGCGAACTGGACCGGCTCCTCTCCCGGTCCCACGGACCGGCAGCGCCGCCTGTCGGTCGCCGCGCGGCAGGCCGGCGGGCCGCGTGGCTGGCAGGGACTGCCAGCGTCGGCGCGTCACCCGTCCCGAGCCGCTGTCACCGGTCCAAGGGTCGGGCGTGACCTCATGGTGTCCACTCCGCTCGGGGCCAGCGCTCGGCCGCGGCGACGTCTTGGGCCGCGTTGTCTTTGGCAGCGGCGCGGACGGGGCGTCCCTGATGCGTGTCGCTGTTTGTCCTGCCCTGTCCAGAGCGGCCCTTTCCATGCCAGGACCACTGGGCAGTCATGGTTCAACGTAACGTGACTGCGGCCGGAGGACTGCCCACTGACGGACCGGATGGGCCAGGTCTCATCCCCGTCTCTCTTTGTCTCTCGGGGTGGATACAGTTGGCCGGCCTTTTCGCGCGGTGGGGCCAGTGACCCGTGACCTGACATACAGCTCCTCACCGGAGGTTGCTCCCGCGCTCACCCGTAGAGAGCGGACGTGACTCTGGGCGCTGTCTGAGCAGCCGGAGATGTCGCCGCCCGCCCCTTGCCCGGCGGTGTCGTATCATCGACACACGTGACACCGCGTGGGGTGGCCGCATCAGCTGCTCGGTCGGGCGGTCGGTGGCCTCAGGATAGGCGCCGGCGCCCACGACCGCCCTCCTCGTCACCGCTGGGTCCCACCGCCCCATATCTCGCGTGTTTGTAGCGCACGGATGCGTGCGGCTCCTCGGCGTGGCCCGCCCCGACGACCTAGCTTAACCTAGTCTTTCTCGAACAAACAAGGTGGTTCTGTCTTCCTGAGTGCTGCTCAATGAGTCCTTTCAATCAGTGCGGCGGAGAAGCGATCTCACCTCCCTGGTGCCTGCGCGGACGAGCGACGGACGACGTGCTGTTCAGAAAAGGTACGCCGTCAGCGCGGCGCGGCCATTTGGGGCGAGCGGAACCCGAAAGGTTGTCCGCGTAAATTGACTTAAGGAATGCAGCAATAGGATTTGAGGTCAGTGAAGGTCTCATGGAAACGGAGATCGATGTAAATGTATGCACAGAAAGACGGTGGGTTGAGGGTCGACTTTGGCCTCTAGTAGTCGTATTCGATGTGTGCAATCTCTGTGCAATAGCAGTATTTATCGATTACATATACACTTGCTAGGTAGGTGATGGCTAGCGTTAGGAGTTTCGTGCTCAGATTGTCGCTCAATCTCCGCCTCGCTCACCAGACCGGAGCCCCGGCCTCCGACCCTCCCCGCCGGCCCGGGCACGCTCCACGTGTCGCCGGCGGCGCACCCTGCCCTCCCCTGACCTCTCGACGGGCGGCGGCCTGTGCGCGGCGTCCGAGAGCCAGTCCTCACCGATGCCTTCACCCAGACCCGCTTACCCGCCAGCCCCGTCCGACGTAAGGTCATGCTACCAGAGCAGGGGGAGGGACGGCGAGTGGCGGCCGCGCGTGTACATAGCCGGCGCTGCGCTGCGCCGGTCGGTGTCGGCCGGCCTTGTTTGCTGTTACTGCGGGCTATTTGTTCGAGGGTGTGCATGAATAGGAGCGGTGGAGTGTCGCGCTATGGCTACACCCAATTCTAATATCATGCTCTCTATCAATATTTTATATCAGCGGACAATCACATCAGGCAATATATCTGGCCAAGCGTGATTTAAACAACCCTCACATATCTTCGCTTTCATATCACTTGTTGGCGATGGTACAAAAGGCATGATATTCGCGTGCTACCACAGCCGCTGTTCTCACCGCCACCTGTGATTCGTTGGTGGAAGCTGTAGTTATCAGCGAGCCACCGGGCCGGTGCATGGGGTTACGCGGATGTACCGGTTGAGATATATTGTTGTCTTCGGTGTATGTGCCAACGTTGTTCGATATGGTGAGTGCACCAGTGCTTTGTTTAGTATAATCTTACGTAGGATAAGGTGCGCATGGAGGAGCAAATTCAAAATTCGGAGTGAGCGTGTAGTTTTTATGGAGTTTTCCATCGTCCTATATTTGTATATAGAGATATTTGTGTAGCTATACATCTTTACGATACGCATATTGTGTTGAGGTTTGTGTTTTTGTTCGTAGTGTGCGCGTGTGATTTGCACGGCGCAAAATCGGCGTTTTCGTTACATTTAGGGCGTTGTTTGTCTGCCGGGCGTTGTCGAACTGATGAAAGTCGCCATCTTTGTCAGAATCTTGTCAGCTTGACCGCGACTCTCACACCAATCCAATACTCGATTGTTTGTTGTTGGCGCTATTGTCTAGACCTCTTTTATCCCGTGAATAGATATTGTTGTCATATTCATTGAGGCAATAAGTGCATTTTGTATCAGATGCAAAACATAACAGATCTGGTGGTAAATATACGCATCGTAACGGTGACGACGTTTTTTTGACAATCAAGGCGCACCGAACCACACAAACTACAGTACTGATTACTTCAGAGATCATCAAGCCAACTGTCTTCAAATTTCCCGTCTGTGTTCAACCTTAATAATACCTTCAGAGTTCCAGTCTTACGAGATAGAAAATCAGTGCCGTTGGCCGTGTCGGACATGTGAGATGCACTCTCTTCTAGATCGCGCAGTAATACAGCATCGTCGCAGCTTTCAGCTTACATACAACATTTTTTAGTAGCTGTCTCAATGCAACTGTTTAACGTAAAGTCCCGCTTTATTCAACTTCAACATATTCAGATCGATATCCACTTCCCAATATTATCACAACAGCAGCTTTCAAAAACAGTAGATAACTAGTTTGACACTAATGCATGCACGTTTAGCAGAGGCCGGACGAACACCGTCTTGACATTTTACACCTCAACCTTCTCGCCACATCTGGGCGAAATTTGCTTCTGCCTGGTCACTACTGGCCTTTATTACCCGACGTCCTGCAAACAATGAAACAGTTATTATTCATCGGTTGGTAGGAGGAACAGCTTCTGACAATCCAGGTTCACAGCACTTCGCAGCAATACAGCATTCGCTAGCATTGTCAGCTGCCACCCACCGGACACCGGACGAAAGGCAATCGAGACAGTTGCATTTGTCCTAAAAGCTTCTACGAAGTGCCATAATATAATAATAACAGTAATGGTTGTATGACCAACGCCCATCCGGTCGGGCCAATTTGCGTCGTGCGTGAACGCTGAACGCACGCCAGACACAGGCATCTTAGGCAGGGTGGCCTCGCTCGGCGCGCCGCCGTCGGGTCACTGACCTACTGCAGGAAGTAACGCTGCGGATCGAAACGGCTCTGATCCACGACGGGACCGAACTGTGGGGAATTGGCGGGTCGGTTGGTCACCACGCCCGGCTGGAGGGCTGCGAAGCTCTGCTGCAGCGGCGAGGCTGCTGCAGTCTGCCCGCCGCCACCAGCGTCCAGCACCGGCACGTCCGCCCAGAACCGGTTGTACGCCTGCAGCACCGTCGCACTGCACGGACGGGCAGGTCAGGTCAGGTCAGGGGACACACAACACACAGAACCGGCTGTGCGCCTGCAGCACCGTCGCACTGCACGGACTGGGTAGATCAGGGACACGCAACACCTAGAACCGTTTGCACTGTCGCGGGGTCGATGCACTGACGTGATAGGCCAACTCGGATAACTTCATAGAACATAGGTGACAGAAAAGCTGTTAAACAGCGACGTTTGCGTTTGGTATAAAATCCACTTGTGGCTCAAAGCAGGCAATGCGAATGCTTGTTACAATCACGGGAACACATGACCGAAATTCTAAACCGATTTGCTATGTTGCGCATAACTGATGTCAACTGGTAAGCAATTCCGACATGTCTGAGGCTATAGACGCAGTGAATGGCTCCATGCAATGCCTTGATTACTTTGGTTTCAGTTAATCGAGGCCCATGATAACCAATGCTTCATGATACTTTGAATATTAACACGCATCAGGGTGCGGGCAATTTGATCCCGAAGGTTTTCCGGAATAATATACAAGCCACACGGCGAAGCCCGTCAAATTGCGCATAGCTGTAGGGAATTAAACAGCAGATCTTTTGGTGGAAAGTATTTGATTTACCTTATAAGGTTACTGACTTATGGCAGGTCAAATGCAGGCCGTAGAAGTCAGCGAGGGTCATTTCTAAGGAATCGTTCAATCTGATTCGACAACGGAGTGTTAGAAGTGGCCATACATCTCTGAAATAGCTTCTCACGCAATAGCAAATTGAATGTAGAATTAAACCAGATGCCGTTGACCTAAGGTTAGGTAGGAACGTCAGACCGAGGTCAAAATCAACCAGCTTTTTGCTTAACAGCTTGCTGTATTGGGTAGTTTCTGGTGCTCATTGTTAATTTACTAATAAAATGGAACGTGGCAGACATCCTCCATGAGCTTCTTGTGATTCAGAGTAGGTAACTGGCCTAAAATGACCCGGATCAATATTCTGCTCTTAGGAACATACTGGCTTACGTAATCCTAGACGCTCATTTAAATGCAAAAAATAAAAATAATGTCGCGGGATTTTGGTCGGCGTGACCTTCTAAAGCCCAAACAAGATCAGTGACCTTAAATGAACACTAGCATACTATTTCACAGGTCTTCAGGTTCAAGGCGGCTGGATGACGAGGTCACGGGGTACTTAAGACACCAGTCTGAAGTTTGAGCTTGTTTCACATCACATGACCCGAAGGTCGTGAATTGAAAATATAAAATTTTGACATGAGTATGTTCACATACAAGCCAACCCATGCGGTAAATTTGGTGTCTCTAGCTTCCTTAATTTTTTAGATCACAGGGCGAGATCAAATTATCCCCCCCCCCCCCTCACCCGAGTGAAGGATATTCAACTGGCCACCCAGGCGCGTGTTAATCAAGCACTTAACTCCGTAAACATTCCAAAACAAGATAAAAATGCATTGTCACATCCAAATCTTTTATTCTCAACAAGTGCCCCATGCTAGCAGTATAACTGAGCATCATTTAGTCGCAGGCCTGCCCGTTCTGCGGCCCGCGTACGCAGGAGTCTCCAGGGTGATGTGTTAGCGGCGCATCCGGACGACAGGAGGCGATCGATGCTCCTCTGTGTACCCAAATCGCATGGTGACACGGCCGCGGAGCTATGGCGACCGGGCCACGCGCTGGCGAGTGGCGCACCGCTGGACAGCTGGCGGACATGCGCTGAACCCGCACCCCGGCAGGCGGGCCACGGCTGGAGGGAGGTCAGCCAGCGGCTCCGGCTCGCCGATGACCCCGTGTCTCACATTCAAACTTGGCACACGGCCGACCGAGCGAGGCCGAGTCACGTGCGCTGACGTGGAACCGTTCCGAGTGTGCCGACCCGTCGCTGTCTGCCCAAATTAAATCCCTCGAATGCCGTGACACTCTGAACGTGAATGGGAAGGTCCACTGGCGTGGCGTCACGTCCCCTGAGAAAGATCTCCGTGCGCTGGTCTCCCGGTCTCATAACTGGGAGGTGGTCTGAACAGCGTGGCTAGCGTCGTGGATGGCTGTACCAGCAGAAGAACGTACTTTAGTGATTGTCGTGAGCTAACGGGTGCAGACTTCAGCCTTAAATCATGCTGCCGCTTTGATGAAACTGCGGATTTTTCTTTGATTAACGCGGGTCGTTTTCATTAGGCGTGCAGCTTGTTGCTTCGTGCATATTGAATCGCCTAAATTGCAAGGGCCACGTTGCAACGGGCATGGACACCCTTGTCTGCATTGTTGTAGCCTAAAATGCAGTTGATGAATGAATACACAAAGCAAATTCAATACATAAACCAAGAACTCGTGCCGTCACAAGCCAGCCAGACAACGCCTGCAGTAACAGGCTTCAACTAAACCATCGTCCTAATAGAGGTGTCGTCAAGCCCTCTATGAAGTTCTCTAAAGGTATCTCTTTTATGTAATCCGATCCCCTTATCCTCTTTCTCGCTTCATCTTCCGTCTTCGTGACACCCCGCTCATCCGGGGCAGGCTGCATGCGCCAGCCACGAGTAGGTCGAGAGGCACCTCGGAGGCCGACCCGACCGGGTGCTCAGCACATACTCCTCAGAGAGGGTCCCTGCTTGGGCTAAGCTCAGTGGTTGGCCCTCAGGCGCATGTAGTCCTGTCCTTACTGTAATTCAGTCTGCGTCATCCCATAGCCTTGAAATGATCCATACTGGTCAAAAGGGCTCTAATCCAAATAACCACCTAACCAATCAACGAGATGTCCTGTAATCTCAAGCAAATTTTCAGTACCTGCCTGGCATATGTTGCGCGTGTTTTGACACCCAAAGCGAGGGCTTAGAGTTTCTGCTTTCGGAGAAGTGGCGTTTTTTCGGAACCCTACGCGATTATCTACGGCCGGCGAGTGCGGCGGGCAACAACCGACGATTCCGCGGACCAACACTGTAACATTGACGGAGACTTACATCATAAGTATATGCTGGAAGCGCACCAAGCGACACGGGATCCAGGAGCCCCCAACACTGCAAATCGCGGACTCCGGGCTCATTTCTGCTTGGGAAATAGGTCTCAAGGGCTCAGACGGACATGGAGCCGATTGTTCGGTGTTCGTGGTACCTGACCGACTTAGACCCCCGCATTGTCGCGGCTGATATTTCAGGTCACGACCCTAGGGACCGCGATTCTCTATGTGACCTACAGCCAGCCCTTCTGCCTTGATGCTCTTCAACCGGGCCTTTGATCGTCGGTTCCAGTGGGCCGCCCGGGCCGCTATTCGGGCCTCATCGAACGCTTTTCTTGGTCGTCTCAGGGCCTTTGCGAGCTGAGCGCAGGGCCCTCCGTTAGCACCGTGCGCCCATGACGCATACAAGCAGTGTAAATCACTGGCCCCGGCTTTGTAACTGATTGAGAAGTGGGTCCTCAGGCCCATACCGATACGGAGCCGACTGCGTGGCAGGATGTTACCTGGCCGGTATATAGGCCCATATCGACTAAGAGGTTCCCCGATAGGCGCAAAGGGCCCAGTGATTCTTATTTGAGGGCTTGTTTTCTCAGATCGGGGCCGCTGAATAAGACTCCGACCAGCCCTCGATGTCCTTAGACTCTCCAATCGCGCTCTTGGTTGTCAGACCCGGTGGTCCCTCTAGACTCTTCGGGCCTCCTCGAGCGCTGCTTCTGGCCAACTCGAGGCCCCTGGACAACACAGGGCCTCTGTTGGCGTTGTGGGGCCCCGAGAAATGTAAATCAGACTTTGGCTTTGTCCCTGCATGTGAAATTGCGCCCGGGCCCATGCCGCTACGAAGCCGACTGTGTGTTACTGGTGGTGTCTGACCGAAATATAAGTCTTATCGACTCACTGGACCCCTGATCAGCGCGCGGGGCCCTTTGGCTGGCATTGGAGTGCCCGGCCCCGCGGGCTGCAGCCCCTGAATGAGGCCTCCATCTGGCCTTTCGGGTCCTTCGGGTCCTCAAATCGAGCCCTTAATCGTATGTTCCGAGGGGCCCGAAGGGCCCTTAGGAACCTAAAGGGTGGGGGGGCCACGTGCCCCTGCGCCCCCTGCCTGCTGCTGATGGTGCCGTCTGGCCCATGTGAAGGACACCCGCCACACAGTGTCACTAGGTCCATGTGACTGGCACTTACTGCATGGTGACGTCTTGGCGTCCGGTCCAGGTAACGGAGACGCTTTCCTTCTCGCTGCGGTCGGCGTGGGTGAGCGCGGCGCACTCGTTCATCAGGTTGACGTTGTCGACTGGCTGCCAGCTCCCCTGCCCCGTGGCAGCCTTACCCGTAGACGGATCGCGCGCCTGCACCATGAAGCCCTTGAAGTAGTTCTTGCCCGGCGCCTTGATGGTCACTGAAACGGAGACAAGGCCCCAAACGTCACGCGCGGCAGCACTATGAGACGACTTTTCATGGGAGGAGTGCTGGGTCCTCGGTGACCATGCTCATGTTCACGTTCGCGTTCGTGACGCGAAAGGACTTGAGCAAGTGACGAGTGCCAATATTGACCACTCGTAATAACGCACGTAGAAAACAGCGCCTTTGGCATATCTCTATCTGTATGACAATAAGCGAGCGGTCCAATATCGCCTCCCACGCTGTCGAAAACGGTCCGACGGTTCGAGGCATCTGCGCCAGAGGAGAGGTCGTCCCGATCTGAATCATGCAGAGGTCATTACAGAATTCCTGGCAGCTGGCCAAGGGTGGCTAAGCGTCCTGGGCACGTGCCAACCAGGAGGAATGCGCCAATATCTGTGGCACCCGGGGTCCAGTGGTGTCTGGAATATGCGGGACAACGGCACCCATGGCTCCCCGGCCGCAGTAGTGAACTGAACCGCGCACCAGCTCGTTTAGCTAGCACGTTGGGAAGCACTGGGCACTTCGTAGCACTCCGTATTTTCCTGACCTCTGATAAAAAATGAACGAAACTGCAGTTCACGAGTTGTGTATCAAAGGGTAAGGGTTAAGACTACAGCTACCTTGCCTGTAATGCAGAGTTAAGTCCAACCCATTAAGAAGGAAAAATATGGGATGCTATGCAGACGGATAGCTGTTTACTGAAGTACCGTGTATACAAAGATGCGCACATTGCTAGGCATATTGTAATGTCACAGCATTACACATATCAGCAACATTACAATGCGCACCAAAGGAACCAGACTCCTAGTAAAACAACACCAGAAAAACGGTGTTCATCTACTAAGAAAACTCGTCTTGCGACCAAAAACTGACGGCAGCATCTCAAAATACATATCACTGCATCCATCTACCAAGGACCTGAAGTTATGTGTCGTATGACACACGCTTCATACCGCATATAATTTCGTGCCCTTGACGCACATATGCATCAAGGGCGTGCAGCAATGTCGCGATCTACCAAGATCAGGGTGCAGAACTGGTTTTAAGATCCATGGAGCGTGACGGCATTCTCACGTGAGTTAAACTGAATGGTTGAGGTTTGTGTGCCATGCCAGCAGATCAGCGAAAGATCTCCGCCATAGGCTAGGAGGGTGAGAGATGTACACTAACGCTCTATGCCAACACACGCGTGTTTGTGTATTATGCCCTGCATATGCTGAAGCCGCACTAGACGAACTCCGAAGCACGATCTCTTGTAAAGTCGGCATTGGGCCTGGAAGTTCTCTGTCTCCCGAAACTCTGTGGACAACGTGGGAATTTCTCGTCGCCACATTGCTGATCGTGTTTTGTGAAGCGGTAGTTGGCTTGGCTGTGGAATCAGTTCCAGCAGCAACACCTACGTCCGCGCCAACAGCTCGCCGTCGACACTTCAGACGGGTCATGCTCCTGTTTACTCGAGCTCCGCCGAACGACAGGTTCCCGCCGACCATTTCTGTATCATGGTCAAACGCGCTGCAAATGATCCTTCCCGAAGTACTTATACTTTCCTTCTATCTTTTCGTAGCGGGCGGGAAAAACGCAGGTCGCCTCTTCTCTGTTGCTGCGATTGTGATCAACGGCCATTACGAATGATGACAACACTAAGAAAGCTAGAAAGACCAAATTCATTATGTAGATAGAGCATTATGTAAACTCCCTTTTGCCAATTTTCAAGTGCCCTAGGCTGTGACTTTCAGGCCATTGAAGGTCAAACACGGTCAAACTCCGGATCGATGTTCGAAGTGTCCCAGACATTCTCCCCCAAGCAGCTTTAAGCTAAATTCTTCTCATTAGCAAAAAGTTGCTGGTGTTCACATCAGGTAATTGATATTTTTCATCTTTAGAAGTTACAAATGACCAAAAACCTTCGAGATTATTTGGCTGTTTGAATTAACGATCGGCACAAAGTACTAACCCTAGACGGCTTGCCTCTGAGAAAAAGGTTGATCGATGTCATATTAGGTCCATGACCTACCCTGAACTTCATGAAGCGAAGATAACAAATGTTTTGACCTCGTTTAAATCCAGGAATTCGAAATGAACGTGTAACCTACTTGATTAATCCAATTTTCTAGTAATAAGGCGGTGTAGGTTTGCCTTTGAACGGGCCCTCATGTCAGATCCAAGACCAATGCAATTAACCACATTTCTAATTAAAATTTCCGAATGTCTAAGAAAAAATATCAAGACTGTATGATTTTGCTTATAACTCGGTTGTGGTGTCACATTGGAAGATACCCAGCGAATTGCCTTTGCTGACAGCCATGGTCTGATTTTAACCTGCTATAGGCCAGCGACCTTACTTGGTACGTCTAATGCGTTACACCAAAACATCTGCCACTAAGTAACCTGCATCTATTTGTTGTTCAGTTTGGCAGGGCTATGCCGCGCCGTTTAAACGATATTTTGGAAAACGTTCGTGAAGTCAAATTGCATGGTCAATTGGTGCATGGGGGAAAATGTCTGGGACACTTCGGACACCGATCCCGAGTTCGACCTTGTTTTACCTTCTTTGGCCTGAAAGTCACAGCCTAGCCCGCTTAAAATTGGGAAAAAGGAAGTTTGCATAACGCTTAATTTACATTATGATTTCGTCTTTCTAGCTTTCTTAGTGTAAGGAATATTACGGGAGTCAAAATGTTCCCCCATCATCCAACCAAGTGCATGTCCAAGAAATCCCCGCATCATGTTGACTGGACCAGCCTGCAAAACTTCAGGATCTTTTTCGAGTATGTTGAGCCTGGCCTTTTGTCGGCAGGGATCAAGATATCTGTGATGAATGGTGCTGCCATCTTCGTGCCAGCCACCGTCTCATAATGACATGATCTTTTCCCTGCGCGATGCTTACCTTGCCGACATTAAATTAACATGCTACCCATTCGGCTCCACGATGATATCGCAGGCATCGTCGATCAAGTTATGTAACCATCACTATGACATATTTTTTAGGCAGTTTTCGGGCCTGGGAGAATATCTAGGGTTATCTGTGAGCCTTTCTCTGTGTGCTGTAATCATATTTGTCTCTTCCCAACACCTCGGAAACGTTTCAACAAGTTCATCGTTTCTCCATTGTTGCTGTCATATTTGTGATTGTGTTTTGTCATTAATCATTCTTTTTAGTGTAATGCCTTACGCTGACCATTCGTATTTTCTTAAATTACTTAATTTCTGGCTTCGAGTACCTTTACCCCAAAACAGCTCAGTGATTATTTTCATCTGTACAGCATAGCCATCAAATGAGCAACAACGTATAAAAAATCCAGCGTTTTTGTGCACATCTTTTCTCGCCGGGCCGTAGCCTTTCCGGTAAGCCATTGCCAATCTTACCATGAACCGAACACGCGTACACAAATGCTTTACTTCCACGGTGTTCAATTGCTTGCTGCGGGTCGATATGGCAAGACAAAGGGCTTCTCTCTCTACGGTCTTGTTGCAACGAGCGCGACCGCACGGCGCATGGGATTTTATGTCTCCCAGGTCAGACATTTTTGGAAAAGCTGAAGCGATTATTTCCTTGACACATATACAGATGTTCGTCGTGTATGGTCATAGAGAGTTATGGCCCCTTGCCTAATACTTTTAGTCGTGGAGACCTGAAAACAGAGGGTGAGGACGACGGTGAGAAACAACTGGTGCCTGTCACAGCAAATGTCACACAGCAAATGTAGTCAAGTATGTGTTGAGCATTAACCTGGTTCTTCGCTGAATGGGAATTTTTGCCTCTCACCTTGCTCGAATTACCCAACTCCTTAAGGGATTGGGTTCCCAGAACTTTTTATAATTTTAACCGCGACAACTCCTGAACATCCAAAATATGACCATTCGTGTAACTCTGATGTAAACCTTACGAGTTCAAATGCTGCCACATTTGGTGTCACCACTGCGCAGTTTATTGTCATGTTGCCCATGCTATGACCAAAACCTTGTAGGATTGTTACGTGAGCAGAAACCCCTCAGCAAAAATAAGCACCAAATGATTCAGAAGGTTACGTCAAACACATTCCCCTCGAAATAATTTTTGCGCAAGATCAATCCCGTTAAGCCCTTGCGGCATGGCATCATTAACTGCCTGCGTGCTGCTAAAGTATGCAGACATTGTATCACATCAATCAATGTACGCCACCACATCATGGATCGATACAGACTGATCATTGTACAAATACGCCTAACTTTATACCTGATGATTCCCAAAAGGCATATATCCGGTAGCCCGACCACAACAAGGGTTCCTCTTAGACGGCTCATAAACCTTAGACGGATGGAGCAGTTACAGATTGGTACAAATTGCCCACGTTACCCATTCCAGCGAGCTAATCGGTCCTCCGTGACCCCCCAGCGGCACTATTGACCGAGGTAAATGACGCGGAGCGGGGGGAGGCACGAGCCAAAAGGGTGGTGGGAGGCCGGACCAGGTGATAAGACAGAGCAGGGTCCAGGAGACAGGACGGAGCGAGATCCAGGAGAAAGGACATAGCGGGGTCCAGGCGACAGCACAGAGCCGGGCCCAGGTGATAGCACAGAGCGGGGTCCAGGCGACAGCACAGAGCGGGGTCCAGGCGACAGCACAGAGCCGGGCCCAGGTGATAGCACAGAGCGGGGTCCAGGCGACAGCACAGAGCGGGGTCCAGGCGACAGCACAGAGCGGGGTCCAGGCGACAGCACAGAGCCGGGCCCAGGTGATAGCACAGAGCGGGGTCCAGGCGACAGCACAGAGCCGGGCCCAGGTGATAGCACAGAGCGGGGTCCAGGCGACAGCACAGAGCCGGGCCCAGGTGATAGCACAGGGCGGGGTCCAGGCGACAGCACAGAGCGGGGTCCAGGCGACGGCACAGAGTGGACCTCCAGGCGACTGGACACAGAGCTGGGTTCAGACGATTGAACACAGCGTGAAAGTGTTGTGAGTCTCAAGAACAGGCTCTAGACAAAGCCGGTAAATCCTTCACGCTGCTATCATCGTCACATGACATATGCAGAAATTATTTAAAGATCTATGCAAAGCGGTCATTCTGTTTCGCTACCATCAACGTGAACAAAGAAAGTGTTAATCTCTGCGTAATGCGTAGTAAGTTGTTCGACTGATATACGGGCATTGGTACGCATGTTTAACTACCACCTGGCGATGAGCCATTCAACACAATGAGTGAGTAGCAGGATTTAGAGCCTTTCACCGCCGCTGCTTCAGTCTGACAGATGCCGGTGCCAGCGGGCAGTGAGGTTAGGTACCGGACCTCTCGGGGAGACTGCCCGAGTTTCACTCGGTGACTGTCGGCCGAGGAGCCCCGCGACCTGTGGCCACCTCTCACTGGCCCGGCCGGGGTGAAAGTAGGAGACTGACCCGGCGCCAATGAACTGGGCCTAACGAGGCCTTACGAGCGCCACCCCGCAGGTCAGTGCGGACGGACAGCGGGCAGCTGGTGTGCGCGAAGCCACACAGCAAGTCGCGGCTTTTGGTCATTGATGCATTCTGATCAAAACGGGTGAATAAAATAGACGTGCACCGTGCGGTGGAGTACCTTCGCAGCAACACCTTCATCGTGACGCCGTTTCAGACTGACTGATGACATGAGAGAGAAGCTGTGCCGACGTCACTTGATGATAACACGTAGCGTGTCACCGATGCCAGAGGGTGAAAGGCGGCACAAGTGTCGCTCTCCAATCCTTGAGAGTCGGGCGAGTGGTGAGAGGGGCACGTGCGCGTGAGTCGTGCTTTCATGCCGTGGGGGTTGTTGAGCTTATTTCAGAACTTGAGACACTGCCCTAGGGCCATATCGCTGCAGTATGCACGCCGTCGAGGACCCAGCTTGTTTTGAGACGATGCACACGGTCTTGGCGGTGACTCAAAGCTAATATCCCGCGCGCAGGAGTGTGCGACGTCAACTGGAGGTGCTCCCTACAGTGAGACTCATGTCAGTGTCAAACTCGCTGCTGAATCCGCTGCACACAGACAGTGTGGTGGTGCGCGTCAACACCCCTGGCTGCAAAACAGCACCACCTGACGGCCCATCTGCCCTGGTTTTGAAACCCACCGGGCAGTTGTCAGCAGCAGTCGTTTCATGGTAGTTGGCTCGTGTTACGTCCTGGACATAGTTATAAATCACCTTTCGGTCTAGGCACCGTAATGGCATTCCGCGCCATAAGACTAACACCGCTGGTGCCTTCGGACGTTATGGCCTGCACTCCATCTCATCGAGTTCGCCACGGTCATATCATAAGTTATGGCACCTGGATTGAATACACAATTTGACAACACAAATGGAAACTTGCCATTCTCTTCGCCTTGTAACATCTATTTGAATCCGCACGGTGTAATCTGTAATTGTAATGTAGATATTATTATGTAGATCTCTGTCACATCTGTCTGAATGTGTGACATCTGTTCAATTCGATGCAACATTCACCACAGTAGAATCTGCATTCGTGCACGCACACGAGATGTTGAGATTCATAACATTCGGCCATAACGCACGGTGTAATCTGTAATTGTAATGTAGATATTATTATGTAGATCTCTGTCACATCTGTCTGAATGTGTGACATCTGTTCAATTCGATGCAACATTCACCACAGTAGAATCTGCATTCGTGCACGCACACGAGATGTTGAGATTCATAACATTCGGCCAAAAAGTTTCTCTCACTAGTCGTGAGGGATTTGGGTGGTCTATATCAACAACCTCACAAACAAAACAGCAAATATAAGTGATTGGATTCATGTAAATGATTGGATTTGAGAACAGTTAGACTCTCAAGATCAGAGAATGAAGAAACAAAAAGGTTCTACTAGGTCATTGTCAAGAGACTGCTTTGGCAGGAAATGTGCATTGGACGTAATCACTGCCTGCTTCATCCTTTCGCGCGAAGTACACAGATGTAATTACAGGTGGCTTATAGGCACGCATTTAATTTCGTCTTTGGAGAATAGTATTCATGCACTTTGATTTTGCTACATACAACATAAGTGCTGCAACGAACACGTAAAGGCTAAGAAGATTGTGCTACCTCAGCACAATATTGCAACTCCAAATTTGCTGGAATGTTTTTGAAATCAGCTCATTATAAGCAATACTTATTCACACTGAAATGATTTCAAAACGTTCAACTAGTCGCACGTGACAAACGTTACGAAAGCGCACAAAGTCAATGGGATCTCGCAATAGCGAGATCAACGTAACCAGTCAACTCGGTTACGTCTTAATTGATTCATTTCGCGCAGCACTGTAGCCTATGCTTTAAACGTTCTAATCCAGTGCACGTGGGGCTCTCCGAGCTCACATGACGTCATGGAAGAATGCGGCAACTTTGCACGTGTCGAGCTGGTGGTGACATCCGGTCGGGTACCTGGGCTGCCCCATCTCCCGTAATTTTACATCTCTCCATTTTGAAATTAGTTAGAAATGTCGTGCGGTGCTGAAAAAATGCGACCGGCTAATAAGCTCCTCTGAACCGACCAGACCTGCATCCGGATCCATCGCATGTTTTCTACTTTCCGTTGGATGGTTTGCGACAGTTCATCCAACTCCGCCCCTTATTCACGCGTCCAGGAGACCTCGCTCCTCGAGCACAGCCTTAAGGTGAACAAGTAGAAAACTCGTTCAAGGTTTCCGCGGCCGAGATAGCTCTGGTACTATCGCTGGATGAGATATCTCTGACCAGACCTTGCTTCGCCGGAGAGACCTGACTGCGAGCTCGCCCGGTGCCTGCGCCGGCACTCCTGATCCGGCCCTGGTGTACCTGACGATCTCACGCCGCGCCGTATGTGGTCTAACCTCGACCGCCGCGGTCCGTCCGATGACCCCGCGGTGATGGTCTGAGGAGATGCACCTTCGCGCTCGCCCAGACGCGTCTGACGACCCCAACCAGGGACAGCCGAGGACGTTCACCGCTTACGCCGCCCCGCCAGGCCTGATGGCGCCACCCTGTCTGAGCTGTGCCATGCCGCCTGAGCTGAGCCACCTCTGCCCTAGTGCGTGTGATGATCCCGCCCTGGTAGGTCTGATGACGGCGCCCCGGTGCGCCTGATGGCGCCGCACTAACACTACGACGCTGCACTCCGAGGTACGTCCGAGGTGACTCACCTCTGACGCCGCCCTGGTACGACTGTCGGGTGACGCTGAACGGCATGGAGCGCAGGTCCTGAGTGCGCTGTCCGCCATGGTTCGGCACCATGCCGCGCAGACAGGCCTCTGTCGGCGCGCCGTTCGGGAAGGCGACGATCGGCGCCAGACAGCCGGCGAGCAGCAGCAGCGGGCGGAGCATGGCGGCAGCGGCGGGTGCGGACGGAGCGCGACTGAAGCCGGCCGGCGCCGCTCTCACAGCCGCTCTGGCGCTGAAGGCCAGTCGTGGCCACCGGCGGGGACTGGGCCAACGCGCTGCGGCCGCCGGCGCGGGCTGGGACAGTGCTCGACGACTGGTCTGGGACAGTGTTCCGTGGCGGGCTGGGGGCAACGCGCCGCGCCCGCCGGCGGGGGCTGGGGCGGCACGCCACGGCCGCCAGCGCGGCTTGGCCAGCGCGCCGCGGCCGTCCGCGGGGGCTGGGGCAGGACAGGACTGCCTCAGAGACACCACGCCGCGGCCGTCGGTGGGGGCAACAGCAGCACGCCAAAGTTACGCTCGGCCGCCGGTAACTGTGCACGGCCAACACGAGACGGGGACGGGACATGGGCGTGGCCACTTGGAGACGGAACACGGCCAACCGTGACCAGGACGAGGTGAAGGTCAGATGGTGACCATGGCTTGACATGCAAGGCGATGACAAACAGGGTTCCTTGTGCTGTGACGGCCATGCAACATTGCCTTGTAGCTTGCATTCAAAATGACCACTTGGTCATGTACGAAGACCTGGTTGTCTTTGCGTACTGTGGACACAAATCTAAAATTGTTCCTAGTTTGCTGGTCAGTGATCAGGCTAATATTTTCACATCTATTTTCTCTTTGGTAACCTGCAATTTGTGGCTCGAATGATATTGTTCAACAACACACCACCAAATCGCGTTGTTACTATGACACCTTAGTGGTCGCCTCCAACTCTGTTCAATAACAAGCAATCGATGGACGTTTGCCTTGACTCTCTGATCCAGCCCTTTATTTTTGTCCAGCAAGCTTAATTTTGAATTCACCAGCACAACTGTGAGTCCTTGCTGACCGGCAAAAACGAAAAGAGAGGTCGGACGTCGGGTCCCCAAGAGTTGTTCTTGTTAATTGGTGTTTTCGGGCGCGTCGACTGCAATGGTCATTTTGCGCCCAGGGTCCTCAAGAGGTAACAGTCCAGTGGCATTTCGCTCGCAAGCCCATTTGACCATAGTTTGATCTTGCATAGCACTTACATTGACATGATGAAGAAGTTTGCCGTGAGTTCTTGCTCCTATCAAAAACAATGTCTTTAAAGGGAATATTCCACATTTTTATGGGGTTTTGAGCTGAAATAGCCACATTGGAGACCTTTCGGAGCAGCTCACAACACTGTCTTCTAAAGACCCAAATCCGTCTCGTTTCTGCGCTATACGCCCGCAAAAATGTGGAGAGCATCTCGGGAAGATATTTTATGGTCACCTTGGCATTCATGACGCTATAACAACGTCATTCGGGTCCTGCCATTCCATAAGCCATGCGACGATCGAGACCCAGAAAAATATATTGGTCGGGTTGTTCAAATATGGTGTTTGAGAGCACGATTTCCAGATATAACGGCAGCCAGCTGACTCTCCGTCAATGTTGTGGAAGGTGAGATGACGTAATCAAACAATGACGTGTCAAGAAGCACATTTTCTAGAAAAGTAAATTGTGCTGCGCAGAGCAGTCTTTTCCGCTTAGAAGTACACTAGTAGTTGTAAGCAAGCTTGTTTCACCATATTTTATGTTTGCCTCAATATCTCCAAATGTGGAACACTCCGTTTTAAGTACTGAGACCAGCAGTCAAGGACCGTGCTGACCATGGGCATCGGTATCATCGATACAGTAAATCAAATGTTACCTAAAAACGCTGCTGGGCTTGGCAGCCTGCTCGCCGGGCGAGGGATGCAGAACAAAAGAACGCACTGAATCCTCTTATCTGGCCCGAGCTGATGAAAAACGACAGCAGCTGAAAATGTTCGCACTTGTTCTTAGACAGGCACTCAGCGCCGGTTGCGGCTTATAACTGCAGGGGTCCCTCCACCACACTGTTTTTCAACCTCCCTGATCTTTCCTTTGTTGATTAGAACAGGGATTTGTTTTCGAGGACCTCGACATTCGCTGCCTCATTTTGGCCGGAACAGGAGTTGGCTTTCACAGACACTGCTTCATCGTCGTCCCATTATGGCAGAGAATGGTGTATTATGAACGAGTGGATGTCACTCCAGTGCACTTCCATGTCAGGGAACTTAATCCTCAAGCAGAGTGAGCAGTTTTCTGTCGCAGAGCAGTGGAGGTGCGTCGGTAGGCACACCTTCTGGTCCCGTATCTCTAGAATCTGACTAGAATTTAAATTCCGTGAACTGCTGTCGAAATGACTCCCAGCGCCGCAGACGCCCCTGACGTCACTACAGTTATTGTAAAAGTAACACTCACTTACGCAACGCTGCGTCCAGACGCTCCCGCCGCGTCAGCGCATTGGCAATGCCTCTTCTGGGTGAGGAGTTAGCTAGACGGTCGCACGCTCAAAATAAAAGATAGTCACCTACTTACTATACTCACATTAACAGATAGTCACCTACTTGCTATGCCACCAGAAGCTGGTCAAAATAAGTAATCAGGCGGGCATTACATTGGAAAGTGGGGTTAGACCCGTTTCACCATCAATCTGTATCGCATGCAGTTCACCAGAGCCCGGGATTTTTTCTCGACGCACCATTGAACGATACGACTGGTATTAGCCCAGGTGGAGTTTATTTCAATTCAAACAAAATACCAACGATTTCACAACAGTTGGAAGTTGTAATGCAGTACATTTTAGATCGTTCGTACCATTTGCTTGGAAAGAGTCATGATCGGAGAGGGTTTCTAGTAATCATTTCGATTTGATTTTTTCTAACTCCAGCCACTTGTTTGCCAAAAGTACTTTTGGGTCGAAACAACTTGAATCATGACTAGACGTAACAAAATTTTACCAAACATTCTACTCAACACGTCTTTGTAAACATCGCCTAGCATCTTACGCAGGGTGCTGATATTATCACCAGTGTTTTGCATCATCGCCTTGTGATTACGGGCTGACCTGTACGGGTGGAACTCATCCTGTGGTTACAGGTCCATCGTGTGAAGAAAACGCACCCTCATCGAGTGTGCGTGTAAAGATTGCTTTGTAGCGGTCATGCATATAACATAATAACAGAGAATCGCAGATGCTACATCATTCCAGCAGCAGACTGTTAAACGTGGCGGTCACGTGATGACCTGTCCACAGGAAGTTCCTGGAAGTCAGCAGCGACAAAGGTCCAGCCGTCACTCAGAGTCGTCAGGCCCAGAAGCTTGTTTGATCAATACGACCTCGTGTCGCTGCCGCCGGCGGGCCGTGGCTGTCACCACCACGTGGCCCCTCGTGTGTTCTCGTGTCGGGTCTGGGGCCGGGTTATCGGTCGTGAAGCAGGTCACGCTAAGTGCTCGCGGAAAGTGCTGTGCTGTGAAGTGCTGTGAAGTGCTGTGCTGTGCTGTGCTGTGAAGTGCTGGTCGTGTGAGGAGCGCTCGCTGTGTTGCAGATTCGGGTGAAAGGCGGATATCGCATGGGTGCCGACGTCACCGCGGGTGCTGACAGACGTAGAGGCTGATTAATGGTTGGGTGATATTGCTAATCTAATGAATCGCCGTGGGGGTTCATGGCTATGGCTTATACAAGGGTGCGGTCCATCCACACAGCTGGCCGGAGGCAACCGCTCCTCCACCTGCCGCGTGCAGTATCTTCAGTATTCATCGGAGCAAGGAAGGATTAGGGTGAAAGCATGAAACAAAGAAGATTCGCTGTTAGTGCGAATGCAGATAGCGGCAATCAGTTCATAGCTAATCTTCGCCGGGTCAATCTCCGGCACCACTTTCGCCGGGCCAATCTCGGGCACCACCTTCGCCGTACCAATCTCCGGCGCTAGCTTCACCGGACCAATCTCCGTCGCCACCTTCGCCAGACCAATCTCCAGCGCCAGCTTTGCCGGACCAATCTCCCGCGCCAGTTTCGCCGGACCAATCTCCGGCGCCAGCTTCGCCGGACCAATCTCCGGTGCCACCTTCACCAGACCAATCTCAGGCGCCAGCTTCGCCAGACCAATCTCCAGCGCCAGCTTCGCCGGACCAATCTCCGGTGCCAGCTTCACCGGACCAATCTCCGGCGCTAGCTTCGCCGGACCCATCTCCGGCGTCACCTTCGCTGGGTCGGAAGAGTCGTTTGGACGCTCTGCAAGATCTTGGCTCTCACGTATCCCACGAAAACAAGAATATCGGCAGAAAGGTCCCCCGAGCTAAATTGAAAGCACTTATAATTTTTGGCCTCAGGATAGTGTGGCGGTCACCAGAAATTACGAGGGGCAAAAGTAGGATCATGGGCATGCACAAAAATAAACCTCTGAACCACGCAAACTTACGATTAAGAAAACAAAATGTGCGCAGGTGAGGCAAGACCAGCTCAGTGTTCTGATGTGGTTTACTCTCACGGATCAAACACCCTCCTTTTCATCCCTATGTGTGAATAAGCTGTTCAGTCTCGTGGATGTTCATGATGAGAAACTGAAGCGAGGCCCGGCCAGTTCAACAAAAGTTACATTTTCAGATGGTCGTAATCGCCGGTTTGAAGTTCTCCAGGGGCCTAAACAACTAGCAAAAGATCTTTTCGCGGTCTAGAAGAGTCAGTCAGTTCAAGGACAGGTCACGGGAGGTCAGATGGGGCTACAGCATGCTTTTTCTGCTCCGGATTCTAACGCCATATTTGTCTAGGAGGGTAGATTAGCTATAAAGATCGTATTTATTGTGATCATGTGTCATCTTCCGGGCAGGATAATCGGTAAAAGGAGTTCAGAGTCTTATGCTGAGTAATCGACTTTTAGTTTGCCAGAATTTACTGGCCACATGACATTAAAGAGGAAACATTGGTTATGTTGACAGTACTCGACGTCTGAAGCCGTGCTTATGATCATGAGTGAAGCAGGTTGAACAAGGTGAAAGGGAATGTTCCACATTCGAAGATATTGAAGCAAACAGAAGATGTCACGAAGCAAGCTGACCCTTAACAATTGATATACTTTTAAGTGGAAAGACTGCTCTAGGCATAACGACCTCTCCGTTTAGTAAATATGTTCCTCAATACC